TAAGAGATATTGAAAGTGATTATTCTTAAAATGAAATAATCTAGGGCCTGTAGCTTTCTTTTATGCTTTTTCCAACCCTATGCTTTAGTATAGTGTGAGGAAACCAGTCAATAGTATTAGAGTCACGTGATAGTCTAGAGAGGGTACTTATACCCCTCTTCCAGTAGTTTAGATCAGTCGTCATGTTTTACCCCTTCAAAGTTATATCTACCCTCAGTGTTTAGATAAATAGTTACTTTATCCCCCTTTTGACTATGACTATCTTTCAGTGACGCTACGATTAGATGATTGTTGTACGATATGTGGTTATGCCGAAGGCTTTCCTATGATTTCACACCTACCTTCACTCCTTTACAATAGCTAAATGCTTTCGTATTCCGTTTTCAATTTATATTCTTTCATATACCGCATTCAGCTAAATGCTTTCATTTTCCGAATTCAGCTAATATGCTTTCATATTCCGCATTCGGCTAAATTCCGTTTTCAGTTATATGTTTTCATATTCCGCATTCGGCCATATGCTTTCAGAAATGATAAAATCATATAATATTATTTTTATATATTATACTACTATTAATAAATATTTATATAATATAGATTTTATTTTAATTAAATAATTTATTTAGCTTAAACTTTTAAAGTGATCTAAGAGATTTATTATATTTCAACACTTAAACTAGTCGAGAAAAACTATAATTAGTAACTAATAGTTTTAATATCATAAACTCAGACTAAACTATTAGTTTCCGATTAAATTAGTAATGATCTAACTAATTTAATTAAACTATTAGTTTGAAACTCAAAATCGAAGAACTAATAATTTAAATATTATAAACTAAACTACTACTAGTTGTTCAATTAGTATACTAGTTAATTGCTTATTTATACTTCCACAGTGCTATTATCATTATATTATCACTTCCAAGTTCTAATTCGTTAGTAATTACAAATTCCTAAGATCTTCATTTTATCTCGCGTCTTGCGTATCGATTAGAGGAGGATGGATGAGCTTGAGCTTAAGATGCGAAGATCTTAGATATACTCTATATATCATATATCCCCTCTTTATACTCGAGTGCCAGTGCCAGTGCCAGTGTATATATACTACTCCTGATATATATTCAAGTTTATTTAATATCCAATACTCAACAATTCCGCACACTCCACTGTGCTGTTTTTAGTATTTGTATTAATATTGATATTAAACTTTCAAATCCTAGATTTATCACATTGACTCTCTGTTCTCTATTCTCTATTCTCTATTCTCCCACCTCTCTCTCTTTCCCTCTCTTTCTCTCTCATTTATAAAAACAAAAGAACTACTACTCAAGCACCTAATCCTAATTATACTCGAATATAAACCCAATAACTCAAAAAACGAGAAACGAAAAGAAAAAGAAAAGTAAAAAGAGTACTACTCGATTATAAAAATCATATACACATACACTTATTACATCTTTAATAACCTTAATTTATATATAAAATAAACTAATTACTAACTATCATCACACTAGTAAATAGTAACTATCTACTATATATTTTTCCTCCTCACTCTTCACTCCTCACTCACTCCTCACTAGCACTCCTCAAATAACATAAACAAATCAAACCGCCCACACAATCTAATCCGATCCAATCCAATCCAATATAATGCACCTCAGCTATCCATCCCATTTCAACCAATCATCCCATCCATCCATCCCAATACCCACTCGAGTATAATAATAACGAATATATTCATTTTTTTAATTTATATATACCGGTCGGTAACTCACTCGTATCTAACTCTGCACAATACAGTAGCCATAAAATTAAATAAAATAAAATGAAACGAACTCGTACCTACAGACCAATACGAGTAGATAGATGCACAAGAGTGCTCGAGTATAGCAGAATCAACTAAACAAATAAACAGAATGAACAGACACAAAAAAAAATCAAGACATCGAATCAATCAATCAATCAAATGTACGAGTATAAATAAATGAAATCTTTTACTACCTAAACAAAAAAACAGCGCATAAACCTCCCTTCACATCAATCATACATACAAGATACATGTTCCCCTTCCCCCCTCCCCAACCTCAACGCCATCCCGATCCATTCATATGTTATCTCTACCAACTCCATGGTATCATATTAATCCATTCCATTTCATTTCCTCATCCGTTTTCTCCCATCGAATCCACTCGCCTGCCTATAAAATTAACCCCTTATCGACCTTGACACTTCTCCTCCCACCATCTACACTCTCTGATCCCCATCTCCCCTTCCATTCCCTTTCTCTTTCCCTTGCCTCTTCAAAAGCCTTCCTACAGTCTTCGGGAAGAGCATCTAGTATATCTTCACTTACCCCACATAAACCATCCATACCCATACCCATGTCATTATCTCCAATACCATTACCATTCCCACCCGCACCCAAATCCCAGCCCGCGCCATCGGGACCCGGAACTCCGTAATGTGTGGACGGCGAAGATTCCATATATGTATCTACAATCAAGAGATTCCGGGAAAAGAATGGTTTAACGGGTGGGAAGAGTGTTGAGTCTGCGGATTCCGGCTGCGGTTCATTGTCGTTTATTTGTTCCCAGCGAGCGTGGGTTGGCTGCATGGTACGTGGGTATTGCATGATATTTGTATGGGGATCGTAGATACCGTTCAAGTTTTGACGACGAGCTGCTGCGATTGCGGAATTGAATCGACTTGAGAGTATGTTAGCCCGGCTTTCGCTTGATGAGATTGGAAAGGAGTATGTACCTAGCTTCTCTAGCATGCTCCAACATCCAATTAACATCATTCACCATGATCTTTCTTTTCTTTCCATCAACCATCTTTCCGGTTTGTTGTGGAACAGTGGGTTGACCGGAATGATATACTGAACTTGCTCCAAACCATGCGACATATTGATTTTTGTTGTAAGCTTCACCAGCCTTGATTGCATCATCTGGATCAGCCAGAGAACCTTCCACGATTCCTTCTTGTCTTGTTCTCGCAACCTCATAATCATCAGTAATTCTTTTGCCCCCGACAATAATCAGAGCGCCGAATTCGCGAAAAACTGATCTCGCAGTAACAACTCCAATAGCTCTTCCCTTGTATGAATGTGGAATAAGTTCCCTCTCAATCATATCCCTCTTCTCGTCCTCATCAATAATAATCTTGAATAACCTCTTATGTTTCGTGAAAAAGAGATAACTGTCTCTGAATCCCACACAACGTGCCGGTTCCGTCGATAACATATATAGTCTCTTTCCTCTACCTTGAACCGTAAAAGTCCTGCAACGATATTCCCGATTACCTTGTAGATAACCGAGTTTATCAACCTTTTTCTCTCCTTCTGCATCCTCAGGCAATTCCACTTCATCGTTCACAACATCCATCATATTCCCCTCTTTATCAACCGGTTGTTGCGTAATATGACTAGGGCCACCTCTTCTAGCCCATCGTCCACCACCTCTGAAACCCCTTCCTCTACCTCTCCCTCGACTAGGTGTGGCTGCTTCAGACGTAGTCCCATCATCGAGATCCCACCCTGGAGGCTTGATCTTTGGGGGTCTACCTAGTCGCTTCTTGCGAATGGTGGTGTCGGGAACGGGGGTAGCATGAACTTCTTCTTCTTCAGCTTCTGAATCAATGGGTTCTTCTTCACCAATATCGTCTTCGTCATTTTCGGGAATTGTGCCGGCATCGGATGGAGGTGCATCGATTGTGGGATCATCTTCAGGGTCATCGTAGGCTTGTGGAGTATTTTCTATTTAGGTACGAGATGAGGTCAGAATTGGTACTGTATGAATATGATGTTATGCGCCAGGTGAAATGATGGAAGCAACTCACTCAATGCAGCGGCGGCATTTTTTGCAGCAGTTCTACCAGGTCGTCTACCCATGATTAAGATATTTTTGATAATCAATTATCAAATTTGTGCTGGAATGAATGTATTGGTGAGCTTGATATCGCGACTTGCCGACGCGAATGAATGTCGGCCGCTTGAACAAATTATGAGAAGCACGTGCTATGACGGCTAGACCCGATTAAGACTAGTCATCATGTGACTGAAATGTATCCAAGCAAATGATCCCTATATCCATCTTACAATCCATCCTGCTGCACCTGCTTCCCATTTGGGGTTCCTAGACAACCTCGGTGAGATCTAAATCACCACATAGGGTATTTATTTCTATTACTGGGGTTCGGTTCTCACAAGCCTTCACAGGACAATAATGAACTAAAGTTTACCCTGGGAATCCGTGAATAGTTTCGGCTCAAATCGGATGTGAATCACCTGGACTTTCTCTTCCTCGTATCCGAATTAAAATCTTGTATCCAGCTGCTCATACATCACGATCACAGTTGAAAGAGTTCCATATCACGATCACAAACACAACAGAACAATGGATGTACAAGTTACAACACATGCAATGAGGCTTCTAAAATTACCTATGGTGAATGGAATTCTGTAGGTTGTGGTTGCTGAATGCGCCATGCAAGTTCCCATCGGAGCTTCATAGGTATGGTATGTATGTTCATATGTTCGCATCGCATGGCATGGTTTTATGGGTCACAACATACGGATACCGGTACAGTTCTTTCCCCTACATACTATAACAATTACCAGATTCAAGGGATTTTATATGATCTCTAACCTTACCGAATACCCGTCCTTGTCCCAAGAATCCCAAATGGAAAGTTTCATGGATGCAGAAATCATTCGATTCTTCTTCCCTAGCATCGAAGATTCAAATTGCTGACATAATTGGATATCAATACTGGTAACCCATACTCATTACTTACAAGGTAGTAGTAATTATTATAGGTATTATTGACATACTGCAGGATTCTATGTAGCATTGCAGTTTTTGGTGTAGGGGTGGATAAGGACATGCATGATCTCAAGCTTGATAGTCTTAGGTCAGCTTTCTTGTTGAATGCACCAAATGCACCAAATGCACCAAATGCATTTTGTGTAGTTCTATGCAATTTGTGGATTATTGAATAGACAAACATTTATTCTAGATAGGAAAACTGACAACTCTTTTGTGTGGGCTGAATGATTTATTAGGATGAAGTTGTTTGGTTATAGATACCGAGAAATAGACACTAGATATATATCGGAGTACCTAGATAAGTCCGATATAGTTATTAGATTGTGAGACACATCAATTGACAAGATCGGGTTACTCAGATAAGGATTTGATTGTTGTATTTTGATGAAATGGAAAGCTTCAGCTGCTCCAAAGCTTTTTCGAGTTGAGGCAAATCTTGTGTATTCAGAGCTGCTGTACCTACTCACTTAACTCTACCCATAAGCTGTTACTCGATCCATCCGATGAAAGCCCTATAGCATGTGTTAGAGGAACAAATTATGATTTGTGTGAGGTTATATATTTATTTATATATATATATATGACGTATTTGTACCGAGTCAAGAAATCTGGATTTATGTGTGGTACTGGTACTGACTTGGTAAATGTTTGCCATTTATTGAATTACGGTTGAGGGCATTTCTTGAAGGGGGGAGGGGAGGGGGAGGCAATGGACTGGAACATGCATTTGAAAAAACATCAGTAATACCATAGAGATTGAGAGGAAAATAAAAAGGAATGTTGTATATGATTCGGAATGAAAAAGATTAGATCATCCTTTACATCAAATATAACTAACTGAGTGATTGAGAATTTTGTTAACCAGATCAACAGCTTTGAATTAAATAAGACGACTTGCGACTTGCGACTGTGACTGCGCTGTCATCAATTCATCAAATCATCATCATCATCAACGACCCCATAAAGAACTCCACAATCTACACCTCCTATCTTTTAATTTTGATATTTAATTATTTACTTTTATCAAATCAATATGTAAAGAGAGAGGTTTCCCTCTTCTATTACATTTCTTCTTCTTCCCTTTCTTTCCTGTTTTGCGACATTCATCTTATTCCATCGTCCCCCTTTAAAGGTTACTTTTTGATATATACCTTATTTTCCTTCCTCATCTATCTCATCTCATCTCATCGCATCGCATATTACTGCCTCTACCTACTAGTACCTACTCATCCCATCTTAACAAAAACATTCAATCAATCGCCTCCTCGGATTATTCAACCCGGGTACGTACCGTACCGGTAGTTCAGTTTACTTCTACCGATTTTTGCAATTAGTCAGTTAGAAAGCTGAATCTAAAACTATTTCGCCTTTCATATTTCGATGGCCCTGGCCACCCTCACAATCTAGACAGTTTATTATTATAAGTTTAAATAATTTCAAAACTAAAGGGAAATAAATCGAACTCGGAAAGAAAATACGCGAGAAACTTTTGAACTTCGCCTTCGCCTTCGCCCGGACGGACAGACAAGCCTTAGGTACAAATATTTGGAATTTTGGGTTAAGGATCGATCAAGAAGACGGGATCCAATCTTTTTCCCCCCTCTTTCCCACTCTCAAGTGTCTGAACCTAAATTCCAATCCGGTTTTCAAAGGACTTGACATTAGCAAAAGGGATTGGGAAACCTTACCTTTCCAAGGTACCGAGTACTATTTTCATATCAATACCAATACCGATACCGATATCATCCATCCATCCATTCATCAACTGCGGCTCCTTCCTCAATCGCTCCTCCAAATCCAAGTCCAGATCAATCCAAGCCAAAATTTCGATATACGAGTATTACCGCATTCCTACCCATCGGTCGAGCTACTGCGGAACCGGTATCAACATAATAAAAGTTCCCCTCGAGTACCTACAAATTTCAACAAACCTTCAACGATTTTCCTATCCATTCACTCACCCATTGAACCTTCATACCGCAACGAAATACTTCAACATAATTATAATATCGGCAGTAAACAGTCTTCGCAGACTGTAGAGAGATAAGATGACAGGATCTGATCATGACTTGCTCAGGCAAGCTACACAAGCAATGATGGGAAGGTATGGTTACAAAGTTTTTGCAATTCTTCAAGTCTCTTGTCAGGATCGTATACAATGGGGTTTTCGGATCTAGAGGGAAGCTGGACAACCAGATTCTATTTTGGCACAAAGGATAAGGGAAAAGTGGACAAAATACATTTGACTCTGCCACTCTTTCCACTCACTCTGCCACTCTTCCATCTCTTTCCCCCCAACTCCACATTCTTTTTTTCATCCTTTTTCATCCAAATGCCATTCACACATGCTGAATAAAGTAAACGTCAAAGTTGACGAGGGGTACTGTACCGGTTGTAATCGGAGTTCCTTATCGAAGCGGCAATCGGCGTACAGGTGCAACCTTTTTTTTTTTTAAATGAATTACAAGCAAAGTGGAAGAAAAAAAATCACAAGAGAGAAATTTATATTGGTTGAGGGTTTTCTTTAATGCTTGCTTGTGAGAGAAGAAGCAGGAGAAATCCCCACACCTCTAAGGTTATCTCTACACATCACTTTACACATCTCTCTACACATCACTTTACACATCACTTTACACATCTCTCTACACATCACTTTACACATCACTTTACACATCACTTTACACATCACTTTACACATCATTCTCACTTCCATTCTTCACTACTCTACTACATGTCATCTTTAGGAAACTCAACATTTAATGCCTTCACTCCAAGGCCTTTGGTCACAAATCAATATAACTTTGGCTAATCTCACATACAATAGAGATGATGATGGTGATCACATCGATTCCGATACACCTCGCTCCGGTGTCGCGACTCCACAGCCAGATCCTTCAGACAAGCGAACTCCTGGTATATTGCATAGCTTCTATGGACAGGTTGGTTTAGGTTCTTCCTCAAGTCAAAATTCTTCGAAACATATATCACATATATCATCTCCCACCCCGAGTGAGCCCGAAATATACTCTCCTTCCCTCCGACAGCAATTTCAAGCAGGTGATGCGTTGTTGAAAGTGACTCTCAGCTCAGTTGATAAGCCTGGGTTTGATTCCGGGGCAGGGATATATAACCCCCTACTCCCACCCCATGAGCTTTTGGGTAGTTCTCAAATATCTAGACACCAACATCCTTACCCGACACCACCTGTTTCATATCCATCTTCACTACACAAAATAAATCTGAGTGATGTGAGTCTTGAAGATGCTGGCAATAACGTACAGAAAACGACAGCTCCTACAGACCGAGATTGCATTTCGGAATCAATTCCGTCACATGCAAGAAGAGCTTCGTCTATGACACCATTGTCAAACATCGTTACTCCATCAAATGTTCATGCTACACATTTCTCAAATCCAAGCGATACCCCCTCCGAGCACAAATTTAGCACCCCTCCATCATCCCGATTGCATTTTGAATTCCACAAGTCACCATCTTATGATCGACTCAAGAGGCTAACTTGTGATGGTTTAAAGAGTACACCATCAACACCTACTCGAGCTTTATCGAATCAGACTTCGAAGTCGGACCAAAGTTTTGTGAGCACACATTCTGATCATGCCGCACAAAATGGCAACGGACAAAATGTCAACGGACCAAATGTCAACGGACAAAATGTCAACGGACAAACTGTCAATGGACAAAATAGCAACGGACAAAATGGCAAATCAAGCACGAGTGAACGACCGATTGTATCCTCTAGAGGCGATAGTACCATGGGAGGAGCAGTGGTAGCACCAAAGGGCAAACTTACCGTAAAGATTAACGAAGCCAGAGGATTAAGAAAAAGTTTGGATCCCTACGTTGTAGTCGTTTTTCAACGAAATGAGCTGGTATCGAAAGGACCACAATCAGAAGAAGATGAGGATGATGATGGGGATTCACACAGCCCCGGCGGTATTGCAATTGGTGGTATTCCGATTATGCGAACTGGAAGCGATTCTGGCCGTTCTATGGCCATTCCTATGAAGAGTAGGCAAAGCAGTAACACAAGCTTGTCAGAATACAGAGATTTCAAGAGCAAGGGTCGAAAGATGTTTACCCATCCAAAATGGGACGCTGAAGCTGTCTTGTAGGTTCATCAAGATAATTACGTCGGTCATCTAGCTAATGAATCTCCAGTGACGTTGTTGGCTCAGACACAAGAGTCAGTGTTACTATTTACGACAGAGCTCAACAAGCAGAAGAATTTTTGGGCCACATTGATCTTCAAGCCAATCTTGTCGAGAATGCCGATTCTCCAGTCTCCGGCTGGTTCCAACTCCGTGGAAAAGACCACAACTCAACTGCAGGAAATGTAGGTGACGTGCATGTTGAAATTTCATTTCAACGAACAGAGAAGAGACATTATGGACCAGACGATTTCCAGATTCTGAAGCTTATCGGAAAGGGTACATTTGGTCAAGTTTACCAAGTGAGGAAGAAGGACACCAGGCGAATTTATGCCATGAAAGTTCTTCAGAAGAAAGTCATTGTCCAGAAGAAGGAGATCGCACACACAGTTGGCGAGCGAAACATTTTAGTCCGAACAGCTACAGCCGATTCTCCATTTATTGTTGGACTCAAATTCTCCTTCCAGACACCAACGGATCTGTACCTTGTTACAGATTATATGTCTGGAGGCGAACTGTTCTGGCATTTACAAAAGGAGGGAAGATTTGATGAGAAACGTGCCAAGTTCTATATTGCGGAACTCATCTTAGCACTTCAGCATCTCCACAAGCATGATATCGTCTACCGAGACTTAAAACCGGAAAATATTTTGTTGGATGCGAATGGTCACATTGCCTTGTGCGACTTTGGATTATCGAAAGCAAATTTGACAAAAAATGCCACAACTAATACTTTCTGTGGTACTACCGAGTACCTGGCACCTGAAGTTCTCCTGGACGAAGCCGGATATACGAAGATGGTCGACTTCTGGTCTTTAGGAGTCTTGGTATTCGAAATGTGCTGTGGATGGAGTCCATTTTATGCAGAAGACACACAACAAATGTACAAAAACATTGCTTTCGGTAAGGTTCGATTCCCAAGAGATACCTTGACTACCGAGGGTCGAAACTTCGTCAAAGGACTCCTCAACCGAAACCCTAAACATCGTCTGGGAGCTACAGATGATGCTGAAGAGTTGAAGGCACATCCTTTCTTCTCTGATATAGATTGGGATGCTCTTACCAAGAAATTGATTACTCCTCCATTCAAGCCAAAGTTGAAGTCAGAGACCGATACATCCAACTTCGATCCAGAATTCACCAATGCCTTAAATGGTGCATCTTCACTCAACGCACGTACAGCTGCCCTTGCACAAGGTATAGCAACATCAACACCTTTATCTCCAGGCATGCAAGCAAACTTTAAAGGTTTCACATTCGTTGATGAAAGCTCTATTGAAGAAAACATGAGAGATAGAGTCAAAGACGAAGATGACGACAGAATGGACCAAGATGAGAAAGCAGAACACGATTGGGAGGACCCATTTGATATTCCCGACAAATCGCGCTCCGACCGGATGAGTGGTATAGTAAGGGAACACACCAATGAAGATGAACGAATGTTCAACGGTGATGACTTTCATTGATCCTTCAATATGACCTCATCTCATGTATCTAAGGTTCTGGTGCAGGGCATTTTTCTGTCATCATACATATACAGTATTTTTCTTCTTCTTTCGTCTTTTCATCATCATGGGATTCGGGATCATTAGTGGTGCATGCTTGCATTCTATCTTATTTACTTGTGTTTTTTTTATCATTCATGAAAGTTAATGACTCGATCGACATGAGATGTATGGATGATTGATTTCATACATACATGACTACGAGATCTACACATCTACCTTTTACATACATAGTCATTGATGATATACCGGTAACGTTTTGGAGATGGTAATGGTAGGGTATGAAAGAGCATGGAATGGAATCGGCGTAATTTTTGATGGGATGATGGATGATGGATGTTTGAGTGTGCGCATTGGGATGGAGTTGTATAATTTGGGCTTGCATGCAGTATGTATGTATGTATGTGGCTTGACACTGGTTTTTTCTTTTCTTTTGTTTGTTTATATGGTGGAGGGAGGGAGGGAGGGATGGAGAAGAGTATAAGCATAGCATAGCATAAGCATGGATGAGCATAATCATGGATGAATGGATGAGCATAAGCATGGATGAATAGATGAATGAATGAATGAGCATAAGCATGAGCATGGATGGTTAAGCATAAGCATGGATGGAGGATGGATGGTGAAGAGAAGAGAAGATGGGAAGATGGGAAGATGAGAAGATGAGAAGAAGATAGGAGAGAAGAGAAGAGGAAAGAAAGAAGAAAGAAATTACAGATTTGCATTGGTTGGTTAGTTGGCTATATGATTAATTTATATGATTAATTGATTGATGATTGAGGGAGAGAGAAAGATTGATGATTGATTGATTGATTGATTGGGAGATTAGTTGCTGATTGATTGATGATTGAGAGAGAGAGAGATATATTTTAGTTGTAATTTATGGGTAGTATTGATGGTGATGGTGATGTTGAAATAGATGGTGGTGGTGATGGTGATGGGTGAAATGAGTGTGCGTGTGAGTGTGAGATGAGAGTGAATGAGTGAGATATGAGATGAGATGAGATTGTGTATGAGTTGAGATGAGATATGAGATGATATAAAAAATGAGAGATGGGAGATAAGCTATAAAATATAAGATATGGAGTGGAATAGATTAGATTAGGAAGATACTGATGCTCAGTACTTGAGTAAGAAGATGCAGGTAGTGAGAATGGGATATGATATGAATGTGAGATATAAGATATGAGAGCGGGATATGGAGTGGATTGCATTGGATGGCATTGGATTGGGAAGATGATCGGTAGTCGGTAGGGAATGTATTCTCGGGGTGAGTGCTTGAATGGGCTTTTAGGCTTAAAGGGTGTGAGAGGGTGTGAGGGGAGTGAGGGGAGTGAGGGGAGTGAAGGGAGTGAAGGGGAGTGTAGGGGGGTGAAGAGAATGAAGAGAATGGGGAATTGGGGGAGAAGAGAATGGGGGATTTGAGGAAGAGGAAAGGTGTGGAGTGAGAGGGGTGAGGGGAACTTGGGGGGAGAAGAATGGAGTGAGGGGAGGGAAGAAGAAGGAAAGGAGAATGGAGATTCAAAAAATAGTGGATTGAATTGAAATTATTAATGTAATTGAAGTCATTGAGGTAGGAAAATAATCGAGGTTGTATATCTATATGATTATCTATGTGACTATCCATATGACTATATGACTGGATTCTTGTTGGAGTGAGGGGTGAGGGGTGAGGTGTGGTGATTGATGGAGGGGGTGTGAAGGAGGTTTAAGGGGGTGTAAGTGAGGTGAGTGAGTGAAGGGGATGAAGGGGATGAAGGGGGTGTGTATATGTATGCGTCGGATTTTCTGTAACGATATGGGTATGAGTATGAGTATCGGTATCGATATTTATCTACATCTGCACGAATAGTGAAGGAAAAAGAGAAAGAGAAAGAGAAAGAGAAAAGGGGATGAAACGGGATGGGTTGGGTTGGGTCTTTGGATTGATGTATGACGGTAAGGTAAGTATATTATTAGAGTTTTAGATTGGAGGTTTAAATTGAAGTTTTGTGTTAAAGTTTTGGATTAGAGTTTTAGATTGGGCTTATAGATGGGAAATAAATATTATAATAAAAATCTAACTTGAAGGGGGGTTTAGGATTCGAGGATTGAGAATTGAAGATTCAAAGATTAAGAGGTTGATGGATCAATAGATCTCTCATTTGTCATTAGATGGGATTGGATTGGAGTGGAGTGGAAGGATCTAGACTGGACTAGACTGGATTAGACTGAAGACTGGATGGTCAATGGGATAGAATGGGATGGGATGGGATGCATATGCTACTATATATAGCCTACACTACCTACCCTGAGATACTGTACTTGTAATCGGAATGATTTGATCTACTGAATTGATACTGTTTTGATATTCTTCCCTTGATCTCCTGGATGGTTGTTCAAGTTTGTTTGGTATGGAAGGACATGGTAGGATATGGTATGGTATGGTATGGTATGGTATGATATGATGTAATAATGCTTTCCTTTCCTTTTCTTTCGTTTCGTTTACTTACTAATTACTTACTTTTGATAATTAGATTTTTACTATTACTATTACTCTAACTTATTAGTTAGTCAGCTAGTCAGCTAGTTAGTTAGTTAGTTATTTAGATTCTAATTATTCAGTTAGAATACTCAAGTAGAATATATAACATCGACACCGTAACTTATAATTTCTCAATTCTATCTTTCCCTACTGAGTACAACTTCAATTCATTATACATACAGATTCGTCGGTTTACTAATTAGCATTGAATCACTGATAGACTCGAAGTCTATTGGTGTTTATTGTTTTTGATTTTTGATTTTTGATTTTTGATGTATGGTCTATGGTCTATGGTGCTTGCTTGCTTACTTATTACTTTCTTGTGATATATTGGCTGTGCGGATGGGGTAGAATATATTCATATTAGAAAGTGCGGAGCGGGTTTTTGATGGGAAATTGGGGGTGCGGATGGGGGGAGGAGGGAGAAGGGAAGGGGGTGAAGGGAAGGGGAGGGATTTAAAGTGACTCTATTATAAGATAGAAGGAATCAGTTATAGATTAGATCGCTGTGCATGTCGTGGGGATGATTAGAGAGAGGAAGAGTTGGAGGAGTGAGGATTGCGACTTACTACTGTAGGGCGATGAGAAGCGTAATGGGTGACGAAGAATGAAAGGGGAAGTGAAAGGGGATTGGCAGTTTAGTCAACCAATTGAACTAATGTACTGATCAAAGTGGCAGTTTAGTTTGATTAATCTAGACTGCTAATCAGTTTACTCGAGTAGTTTATGATATTCAAATGGTTGATTGAATTCTGGGTTTCAAATTACTTACGAGTAGATTCAATCCAAACTGCCAATTTGATAAAAAACTAACAGTTTAAATAGCAATTTAGTTTATTGAATTTTCATTAAAATTGCAATTGCAAGCTTATTCTTTATTCTTTGGTATGGAGTTGAGGTAGAATCTTTTATTATTATAAGTTGTCTGGTTGGTTTAATATGTAATATTCAAATTGTCAGTTAAACTATACATTTTTAAATTGCCTAACTACACTGGTGGTTGGAAGGGGTGAGTATGAGTATGTCTTTTGGATTGGGGGCGAGAGGGCAGATGTGCAGCTGGGTAATGGGGCAATGGGTATGGGTATGGCATCAGATATATCACTATGGATTAATGGAATGGTATTGCTATTGCGCTTGTCACATGGAATGGGAGGAGTGATGGAGGTTAATGTGAGATAAGAAAGAGATACTAACTTTGGGTATGGGTATAGGACTATCGAGGGAGAATAGGAAATGAGGAGGGGAATGGGTTTGTTATTGGGACAGAACATGTCATATTGGAAATGGAAAGTGGAAAGTGGAAAGTGGAAATGGGAAAGAGCACATCACATTAGAATTGGGAATGGGAACTGGCATGGGTATATTACAGGAAAGAGCATCTTACAAAAAAGAACACATCACACATACTAAGACCAAGAAAAAAAATGAGCATGAGAATAACAAAAGAGAATGTCACAATTCAGAAAGGAGTTTTAGATAGTGGATTTGAAGCTATTCTATATACTAATCCAACACTATTGTACTATGTTCGTGATCGTGATGTCATGATCACCATGAAAATCATAATTGCTACTCATACCGCCAGAAGTCCGCAACTCGGGTATGCTAGTACATACCACATAAAATTTCTAGCGGCATGCACAGGTAGTATTGAGGATTGAGGATCATCACTCGGTAGAGTGAGTGAGGAACCTAAAACATAAAACCTAGAATCTAGAAGGTTAGTATAATATACAATTCAGAATTATACGCGAGAATAACGTACCGGCATTTAGTTTATGAGCAAGCTACTCATACAGTAATAAACACACAACACTAGCCCTGCGATCTATTCCGAAATAATTGGAAATCCATCCTTAATTAGTTCACTAGGCTAAGTACCGTATCTGTAGCTTTAGCTTCTCCCCTAACGTTTGGATTAAACATTATTACTCAAACATTGTCACCTCCTATCCCTTCCTACCGAATCGAGATTCGAGAATGTAATACTCGCACAATCGCACACTTATCAGGATTCAGGATGAAGCTTGTAAGTTGAGAATTTAAACATGCAATATAAGTTACATAAGTCTCTCACAAAGCGATTTATTCCTATAATCCTATAAAGCTAGATGAAGCTACTTTAGAATATAATATCATCATCTATAACAACTTCGAGTCTTCGAGGATGACAAAAAGAAACGCGGACGCAGACGATATCATACATATTCCACAATAAAAGGGAGAAAATAAGCAGGAGAGTATGACGATATTAGTCTTGCAAAACTGAAAGCACTAGACTAGGTCACTAGGGTCTAGACAATGATTTTCTTATATGCACGGTATACCGTACCTACAACTGAACTGAAATAAAAGTTAAAACAGCTTTCGCGAATAAGGCTTGAGTCTAGAGTCTAGAGTCTAGAGTCTAGAATCTAGATTCCACATGGTAAAGAATTGAATTTTGAAAAGGGGTAAAAGAAAACTTGGCAGAAAAATCGCTAAACGTAACTCATGGGAAGGAAGTTGCGGGAAGGAAGGTATATTGTATTTTGCATGAAAGTACGAATGCTGACTGCAGATTTGAGATTCAAGATTTAAGTTGAATAGAATAGAAGGCCAAGTGATTAATACTAATACTCGGTTCCAAATACCCTGTTTTAGCGCCACATATCATATAATTAGATTAAAATTATTACTGCGACTGACTCTTGTGTGCTTGCCTACAGCCCTACTTATCTCATATACTCATATGCTAAACTCAGTACTACCGAATTCTTAGATTTTTTCGTGTACAGAGTAAAGAGTCAGAACATTTGACATATAATTGGGAGAAGTGGGCAATCCAAGTTCAAAATAATGTGATACAATAGAATATCAATTTGGGGGCCATTACAAATAATTAGCCCGTGGAGTATATCTTAGGGAACTGCAGCTGTTGGTGGACCTTCATCAAATTCGCTGGACCATATGAATGCATTATGCATTTCGTTAGGTAGGGGCCAAGATGCTCATTTCGCATCGGATTAAGCCACTCACTTTAAACCTGGTTAGGAGTTGGGTTTGAAGGTGTCACAAATATTAGGATGATGCTTATGCTCAGTTGTATTTATTCCTTCACTATTGCACCGGTATATATGATTTTGTTTTCTTCTGGGATGAAACTTGGAATATATCATCAAGATGTTTCCATATCATCACGTAGTTTTTATCTTCGTTTCAGTTTTGTGTTTGTTCGTTTGTTCAAACCGGGCCATTGAACTCGAATTACTCACACCAAAATACAAACAAATCCTTATCTCGGGCGTAAATTATGATATTGTATGGTCATCTCGTCAAAGTGGCACCATCAATTTGACTTTATTACGTATGGTATCTGATTCGGGCGTTGGAGGTTCAATTCTTGAAATAGCTTGTTCGTTTTTCATCTCCATATCTCTGGAGTCGAGACTGATTCAGAACTAATAGCAAATGTTCCATTATTAACCGAATCATATCAGTGGACTATACCGCAAGGGCTCGATATAAATCACGCGCATTATCCGCCATGGGCGATTCTGAGTGACTGCAAGGGAAAACAGACGCTCTCGGGTGCTTTTTGGGTCAATGATGTTGCAATAAATAGAAGAGATGATGTCAACAGTAACGATAAGACGACCAGATATCCTAAAAACAGCAGTGAAATCATCGCCAAAGAAAGGGGGCAATGTGCCATTATCCGGAAGTGACTGTAGGTTGTTTTGTGTATTGCTTGGTTCATCTCTAGTAGTTTCGATAAATTGCCGCTTTCTTGGCCTCCCCATTGGTTTCTGTTCGGAGTAATGGCATGCTATGTTTTCCCGCACACATCGTTCACATCCATTGAAGTCCTTTGAGCATGCAAGCTTTCTTGTTCCTACATTCACCAGATCAGTGGTTGCACATTGGTTGCATGGTGGTGGACTCTTTCTAGGCCTAGGTTACTCACTGCACTCGTCACAAGCCCGACGTTTTGCCGTCGCAGAATCCTTTTGTTTATCTGCTAGATCCATCACTAGATAATCACCCAGGTAATAAATGTAACTGTGAATTAGGACGATAGATGTGATCAATGATTGTGAATCTGTGCAAAGAAGTCGAGGTAGTTGTTTCTTACTGTACTTCAAAATAAAGTACAAGGGGTTGAGAGACTTGTAGCCCAGACTTCCAGATCTCAAAATACGCTAAGATAACGATCCTCGATAAGCTCTTCGACTAATTTTTCCAGGAAAAAAATCTTGTGAAGCTTCAAGGTTGTCAATAATCCCCAAATTATTGCAACAATGGCGCCGCCAACAATACAACGAAAGCGCAAAGCTGTTACCCGAGATGTACCTGAGATATCTGATGTTGAGTCTGAAGCAGAATTTGGTGATGGAATTCTAGAAGGAATCTTGTCGCAAAGCGAAGATGAATCCGACGACAGCGCGGCAGAGGAGGATAGTGAAGACGAAGAAGACTTAGACGAAGACGAGCTCGAGGCGTTAGATAGCGACGAGGTACCCTCAGAGAACGGCGGAGGAGAGGAATCCGAGGCAAGGGCTGCCCTCAGCAAAATCAACATTGGCGAAGACAATGAGAAGCCAAACTATACTGTAGTTGAGGACGCCAATGGAGGAGAACGTTACGTTTACGAGGAGATAGACCCCGTTTACGACTCGGATGATTCCGATGCTCAAGAGCCAATTAACACCATCGGAAATATCCCATTGTCTTTCTATGATTCTTACCCTCATATTGGATATAATATCAATGGAAAGAAAATTATGCGACCTGCGAAAGGGGAAGCTCTTGATGCATTGTTGGACAGTATCGATATACCCAAGGGATGGACAGGTCTTACGGATCCTGCTACAGGCAAGCCTCTCAACTTGACTCAAGATGAATTGGAGGTCTTGCGCAGAATACAAACAAATGAGACTCCTGAAGATGGTTACGACCCATATCCTGTAAGCACTTCTTGCGACATTGCAACCTGGTATATAACTAACGTAATGTAGGATTATGTTCCATATTTCAGCGGTATCGAGGAGATTATGCCTTTGAGCTCAGCTCCTGAGCCCAAACGACGTTTCTTGCCATCCAAGCATGAAGCAAAACGAGTTATGAAGATAGTCCGAGCCATTCGAGAAGGTAGAATCTTGCCATATCGACCACCTGAGGAGCGCGAAGACGATGAGGAGGAAGAACATCATTACGATATATGGCAGAACGAGGAGGCTCAACCAGATCATATCATGAAACTCCCAGCTCCAAAACCACCTCCACCCGGATACGATCTAAGTTACAACCCACCTCCTGAGTATCTTCCATCTAAAGCAGAGAGAAAGGAATGGGAAACTACAGATCCTGAGGATAGAGAAAAGGAGTATCTACCAACTGCGTATGATTCTTTACGAAAGGTGCCAGGATATGATAAGTTTATTAATGAGAGGTTCGAACGTTCGCTTGATCTGTATTTGGCACCGCGAGTTCGCAAAAATAGGCTAAACATTGATCCCGCTTCTTTACTTCCAAAGCTACCAAAGCCTGAAGAACTTAAGCCTTTCCCAACTGTCACGCAGACACTATTCCGTGGTCATGATGGTAGGGTACGAAGCTTGGCTATCGATCCATCTGGAACATGGTTAGCTACCGGTGGTGATGATGGTACTGTCCGTGTTTGGGAACTTCTAACAGGAAAACAACTCTGGAGCGCACAAATAGGAGACGAGGAGGCAGTTAATGTTGTTAGGTGGCGCCCAGCGAAAGACGCTATCATACTTTCGGCTGCAGCTGGAGAGGATATATTCCTTATGGTACCCACCGTAATCGATCCTGTTGCTGAAAGCAACAGCCGAGAGCTGTTGGATGCTGGATTTGGTTATGCAACAAATGCCACTCAAGCACTCACAGCAAACGGGCAAAAGAAAGAACCAGTCGCAACCTGGGCTCGTCCTAGCTCGCGTCTACAAGATGAAGGCGTACTAATTAAGATCACGGTGAGATCTACAGTCAAAGTCATTACCTGGCACCGAAGAGGTGACTTCTTCTCCTCTGTATCTCCTACCGCTCAAAAGTCCGCCGTCGCGATCCACACTCTCTCGAAACATCTCACACAAATTCCCTTCAGACGTCTTCCCGGTATCGCCCAAACTGCTCAATTCCATCCCTCTCGACCCATTTTCTTCGTTGCCACTCAACGCACAATTCGCAGTTACGACTTACAAAAACAAGAATTGGTAAAGATCATTCAACCCGGTGCTCGCTGGATTTCTTCCTTCGATATTCACCCTGGAGGCGACAATCTCATTGTTGGTTCTTATGATCGTCGCCTCTTGTGGCATGATCTCGATCTCTCCACTCGACCATACAAGACTTTGCGATTCCACAACAAAGCTATCCGAGCTGTCAAGTTTCATAAAGGTGGTCTTCCATTGTTTGCGGATGCTAGTGATGATGGAAGTTTGCAAATTTTCCACGGAAAGGTTGTAAGTGATGCTATGGAGAATGCTACTATCGTACCGGTGAAGGTTTTGAAGGGACACAAGGTCAAGAGCGCTTTGGGTGTCATGGATTTGGACTGGCATCCAAAGGAGCCTTGGCTTGTCAGTGCTGGTGCGGATGGTACATGTAGACTGTGGACTTAATAGGGCAGTGTTGAAAAATGGAGTACCAAGGTGTTTATAAGGTTGTCTGCTAGATATCAGTCGTAGAAAAGCATTAAGAATTTGATAATTTTACAACTGACCCCATTTCGCCATCTCGTTTCCTACTCTCAGGACGTCTGAGAACTAGGTAGTCAGTCCCAGTGTCTGACCGGCAATATTTACCGTCATGACGCATGTGCTTCACTCGATGTACTCTTAGGCAGCTACTTGTTCACTTAAGTGGGTCACAAAAGTATGCCATCTTTCCTGCGAACTGCTAGCTGCGAACTATGTACAACGCATCATCCACGGGGTTTACACGTCTCATATCGGGTGAATGTCATACTAACATTGATATGAGGCTCAAATCCAAACGGTGAGTTCTCGCATTCTATATCACGCGGATCGCGGCGTCTCCCTAGTCCCGAGAACGTTTTATGTCAATAAGGTTAACTTGGGAGGTAGAATGTCATCAGAAAGCTTCTGTATATTGTGTAGTATACGGCCGTATGAATAGATTAGAGTATTAGAGTTCTTGAAAAATAAGTTTAATGTTTGGGAAGCTGGGATAGCTTCTAGCCAGTCGGACGAAAGCCGCAGCTTTAAGCCGTCTCTGTGCGACCTCGCCGAATACTTCGCTTAGTGCCGATGGTATGTCTGTAGGGTTTGTGGGAGAGATTAGATTGGGTAAAAAGGCATATACTGGATTATGTGGGCAGTGTTGGGTATGGGAGTTGAAGGAAAAGATGATTGAGATTGCACGTCATTGCTGCCGGAAGTATTTTCCGAGGAGCATCGATAGGTATTTGTGCTGTATAATATGATTATCCGTTTATGAGAATATGATGATATAGGATGTAGGCGATACCGAAAATCAAGAGGCCCACCAATCTAAATATGTATCAGGCGGGTACCTTCTATTTAATAGGGCCCTAACCCATTAATAGAACCTCTAGTGCTTTAGATATAGAATTAGAATCACATACCGGCACTGGATTTGGTTGTTTTGAAGTTGATTATCAATACACTAAATCCAAAAGCAACCAATTCAATATCTTCAAGACTGAATTATATATTTTCAGGATGGTGAATACTCTGAAGGATACAGTGAGTGCTCTAAATCCCAGTTAGACAGAAATAACAAAATCAATTATTTGAGCTATAAACAGTTATCCTACCTAAACGTCGATCTAACACCCACGGTAGACTGCAAAAGAGTCCCTCAAAGGACCTACTTATAGTAAGATTGAAAAACCCCAGCTGTTTGGTTATAGATTCATTGCAAATGACTTGTGAAGATTGGGTTGGTCATGGATAACTGCAATCAAGAGAGAGAAAAGGAACCGAGGTGATGGGTAGCTGGCTGACGGGAACAGGGCGGCTCATTCATCGTACAGGCTACCTTACAAGTTGACAACTCATGACATCAAAGCGGTACTTCAAAATCTCTCACTAGTTCAGAACAACAACATTTTCCAGCCCAAGAAATTTCAATTTCGATAAAATTGCACCAATTACCATGTATTAGTAAAACGAGGCAGACAACGCCGTATCAAATGATTGACATTGCGCAGCCTCATGTATTATGGACCTTCAACACCGTCAGCTTGTCTCCTTTATCGGAAATTGCTCCGTTCCTTCAGTTCAATCATGTTCGCTACTCTACTCGTAGACGTACAGAGTAGTGGGGCGTTTAAAAAGGCATTCCAGCAAGTAGTAGCTGTACATCTCCATAATTTATGTACATACCTGCCGATCTCATGAACTCCGATGTTCGAATATCCAGATGACCACAAAGCTCTCGAGCCAGCACACAGCAGAAAACTAGTTAGTAAGCCGCGCTTCTAGCACTCCGATTCTTCATATCATACAGGGAGAGAAAGATACAAGTAGATGTATAAGTATGTGGCTTTGTTGGTACTTTTTCTTGTTTTCTTAGTTTCTTTTCATGAACGAAGTTATCTTACTTTCAAGCCTTGTGTTGACATTATTACTTCATTCTTCAAGCCAAGTATATATACATGTATCGTCTCTCAGCCTGACTTCCTTCCAAACCCTTAAATACCTGCATTTCCCGCATTCCAAGAATACTACTACTACCTTAGCAAACAACCAATCTTCTTCGTTAGTGATCACATTCATCATTGGCAGACGCCTCATATCTGACATTCCGATAGATCTCTTTGGCCTCTCAGAATGGCTCCACTCGGCTACGACGATAAACCAGAAGAGATTTATCAATATGACTTGGACGATTGGACCATCATTTGCCGCTATTGTCTCAAAAACATATCGGCAACGAGACCTCCCGTTTACAAAAAGGTCAACTGTGATTGCTCAGAGCTTGGCATCCATGCTGCTGGACCAAACTCGACCACGCAGATGTTGGAGCCAAAGACTACTGTTTATGGTCAACCTGCTTATACATATCAAATTTCAGTCCCGGGATATGCCTGTTCATGTACCCAAACTTCAATTTCACATGAAGAGCCTCTTGTTCATGATATAAGCAACAACTCCCAAGACCTCAACATCAACTGGAACAATGGGTACCTCAAGAACAATACAAGGATTACACAAAACCAACCATACTCTGTTCAAAGTTACTCATGGCCTCTCCATGCCTGGTTGAAAGAAACTGAGTCTTCTTATACTCTTTCATCTACAATTCGAAATTGTCCTCGTGTTTGCAAAACTTCATCTATGAAGGCCAAGAATGGAAGCAAGCGAGGGAACTTTAGTCTCCACAGCTCTGGGAGTGGTATAGAGTCTGGATTGAAGGGATGGGATCCTGATGCATTCACCGAAGTGGGAGCTTGGGTTAGTGAAAATACCGAGATGCAAACGAACACCCATTAGCCATGAGCAGTGGCCATGAGTGGCATTAGCGATTCCAAGAGAAAGCAATCTCGTTCCCCAGTTATGGTTGGTTCTGTGCTGGTAACAGTATTGATACTCTAGGAGTTGGTGTCAGGGTTGATCTAGGGGATGATGCTGGAGCAGGTTGTTGATGATTCGATGTCTTGATTTTTTGGTCTTCTTTGGTTTCTGGTAAATTGGTAATAAACTTTTGGTGTCATGGTGTGAGGATTTAGAAAACGGAGTAATGGATAATGAGTAATGGGTATATACGGGTCTTTGGTGAGTCGTGACAGAGTTTCGTTATAGGATCCTCGGGGACTAGGTGTTAGAAGGTGTTAACAGGAATTAATAGTTCAAATTCAGTTGCTAATTCTCTTGGCTGGTCGAGATATTTGTTTTGAACACAGCAAGAGCTCTAAAATTCAAATATTTACCGGTTCCTTCCTATTTTTTGGCTATTAGATTCTAGGATTAGCAAAATAGAGGTGGAATAAAGAGAGGGAGGTCGTTCCTTCTTCATCTCTCCACACCTCCACACTTCCTTTTCTATTTCTCCCACAATCTCATTAAAACAATATTTTAAATTGTCTTTCTCCATGGAAGGCGCTTCATTCGTTCATCTAGACACTGGAATTAAGATATCTATAGGAACTACAGTAAATGAAGTGTGGTAGATAAGCTAAATAGAAAAGACCTGGAAGAGGGATTTGAGACCTCACGGAGAGGTCATTCTGTGTAGATAATTACTTTGGTACATCGAATTTGTTTGAAAGGCTAAACAAAGTTGAGTGTTTTAGCCCCTGTACATTTTCTGGACTTGAGTGGGTACAATCAGCTACCATTATGATGGCAATATGATAGAATAGGAATAGTTACATTCAAATTTTGAGAATTTTCATTCCTTTACTATTTTCTGTTTCTAATTCCTCACTCTTTCCTGTACAAGACTTTCTCACCTCCAACGCATTTCTATATTTCCATTTCCAATTCTACTTCCACTACAAGCACTTTTTTCTCTCTTCAAGATCTTTGCTAACATGTTTTTCATGCTTTTATCTACATTTACATCCCCTGAATCAAGCGATTTATCAGGTACTTTATTTACCTAAATGCATACCTACCATTTATTGAACTAATTCTGTCTCATCAACCGAGCTCTCTTTAATTTACATCAGGCCTTTGGATATCACACAAAAAGAAATCAATAATCTTTTCAATATCCGCGCAAAATATGCAGAATTCATGGCTGACTGAATTTGAGAACAAGATACAGGTTAATATAAACATGGAACTGGTCACCTGTGGTAGTGGACATGAGCTATTCTAAAAAGTCTGTGCTTTTTCAAGCCGATCAATTCTTAGGGAAGGCATAGTGAAGCCTGAGTCAAAAAATAATGAAAGCCGGAAGTTCTTCATAACTATCAATTACAACGAAAGGGTGATTGGCTAACAAGTCAACTATTTCAGCAAACACTTTTATTGACACTATTATATATAGGATTTTGATATACCGAACTCTATCCATTCTGAATCAATGGCATAGTTTCTTGGAATTGACTCTCCTGAACGTCATAAGAATCATGGCCATTTTTTACTCGACTTGAGGGATCCTGTTGAATTTTGATGGAGATACTTTATCTAAGGAGAACGGGAATCATGTTGGATATTGGTAGATAGATACTCGATCTTGACCGAAAGATTTTGGACAAGTTAATGTATAAACTGCCAAAGAGAATAGTTGGACATGTATCTCTATAACTCCACCTGGATTTTAGAGAATTAATAGACACTTAGACATCACAGCAAGAGAGCTATTTTATTGTCGAAGATTCAAGAAGCTGGATTGAATGAATGACCGTGACAGGAGTGTAGATAGAACGTTATGTTTTGGCTTCTATCAATCACATCTCCACAATTGAGGATATTTTGGTCACGGTATACATATAATTATTGAACACGGGGAAGAAATCCTCTCGAATAGTCTTTGCACCAAGAGTCTAGCAAACAATCACCTCGATAGATTGAATATATTAAATTCTGTAGCTCTAAAACATCATCGGGTATATAGAATCTACTCCGATTTGCCAGCACAAACCATCCTCCTCACATCCTCGATTCCATCTCAAATTTTCGAGTCCATATTATGTATTATACGCCAGAACTATCTATCATAACATCACATCAATAACCTTACATAGCTCGAAAAATATGCAGCAAGTATATACACAGTGCATGCACACAATACACTATAAATTCCATTATATACACTGTGCAGGAATCCACAAAACCCCCAAAAAACGGGTGTGTGTTAAAATGCACAGCGAGTCGGGGTAAGTGGATCATATCTCGCTTGACCCCTGATAACGTTAAAGTATAATGGCGGAACGGAGCGGATTCTCCGGGTCCAAACCTGACGAGAAAGAAACTTCATCCACTTGTTTTGTTTGATCTTTATATATAGAGTATGGGAGCTGTGAGTATCAAGACACTGAGACAGAAAGCTATCCACAAATCTCAAATCTCCATACAGTACCAGGTACCTACCATACAGAAAACTAAAACTCGCTCGATCCATTATTATTCATTAAGTAAAAGAATATCCACATAAAACCCCAAACCAATCCACCCAAGAACCCGAAGCTCAAAAAGCAAATCCCCAAAACCATGCTAAAAATACCGGCCGGCATGTATGCTAACCTTTCAACCTACAACATCAACAACCCCAAAATTAAAATCTACACATACACTTTTTCCCACTCAAAAAAGAAAACATCTCGACGCCGGCATGATTCGAACATGCGCCCCCGAAAGGAATTGATTTCTAGTCAATCACGTTAACCACTCCGTCACGGCGCCTTTTTCTTGTTTATTTCAATTGCTTGAAAAATGGGGCGGTTTGTGAGTATATACAATATACTCGAGTAGAATAAAAAGTGGAATTTTGTAAAATGGTGGGACGAATGATGTCGATTGTAAAGAAAGCTTTTGATGGGCGAGGAAGGATAGGGTTGGGATTGGAGGAGTATGTGTGGATATATGAGGTTGGGTTGTGTGAGTGTGTGTTGTGTTTTGAAGAAGATTAGATAGGATTAGGATTTGGGATTAGAGATTAAGATTAAAATGATTATAGTGATGCAAATGTGTAAATGTATGAGTGTGTTTGATTTTAGAGAGCGAGTTGTGATAATTATGTATAGTTTCAAGAGGGGAGGGGAGAGGGGAGGTAATTCGATATGTTTAACTATTGTATATATAGATATACTCAGTATCTCGGTATTATGATTCAGTCAAAACGAAACGGCTAAGATTAAGAAGATCTGAAGATGATTCATTTTGATACAACTTTCCACTACTAGACTACTAGCTGCCATTGATTTGCCCAAGCTATTGTTCCCTTCCTCTCCAATACCCGAACCCCTGTTTCGTTTCTTGATTACTCCATTACCTCAATATTCATCACTTCATTAAACCCCCCCCTCCCCCCCCTTTTCACAACTCCTCACCTATCAATTCATATCATTTTGACATCCATCATCCATTCCATCCCAAACTCATCCCACTCACAACATCCTATGCATATTTGTCTTTACCCTACCCACTCACTCCCATTTCTCCATCAATTTATTCTCCATGACCCCCTCCGGAAACTCTCTCACCCCCAAATGCGTCGTATGAGCCCAAGGTTTCAGGCCATTTTCCTGCTGGATCGTATGTGCGAAACATTTACCTATGGTAGACACCATACAATTAGCATAAACTTTCTATAACGAATCCAAATAGCCATCCATCTAATTTCCCAAAGAACAACATACTCCACCCCAATCTCGGCCACACCCCCACTACGTTCTCAATCGTCTTCTCATCCACCAACTGCGCATTCAATCCCACATTATCAAAAATCGTCGCCAACTGCACTAGCCCACCCACCCTCGTCTGCGTCCCCACCTCCCCCAAATCCTGATGTCGGATAATACCCTCCACAACCAACTCCCTCTGATCCCTCTCCACCCCCACATCCCTCAACACCCCATCCGCAATAAACGCCCCATAGAATTCAAAACTCATAAGCGTCTCTTGCAAATATTTAGGCACGGTCCCAATATCATGCAATAAAGCAGTCAAAGCATAGCTCTCGAGCAATTTACTCGAGGCGTCGATGGAGGTCCAGGATGGGAATGCGTGTGAGAGGATGGCGACACCGTAGTGGTAGACGCGCATGGAGTGGTGGTAGGTTTCGAGGGGGAGGGTGCTGCGTGCACATTCTTGGACGCGGGCTATGAGGGGGGAGGTGGGGAAGGGGAGAGAGGTTATTGGGAGGGGAGGAGCGGGGGTGGAGGCGGATGGAGATGTTTCGATGAGGAGGGAGAGGGAAGCAGGGACGGGGGTCCAGCCGTAGGATTCAATGGCGCGTTGGCGTTCGTAGGTCATGGTTTGTATGGGTATGGGTTAGGGTTTGATGATTGAAGTTGCGTGTATGCGTGTAGTTGATAAGTGATTGAGTCGATGTCGATGAGTTGATGAGTCGATGAGTTAAAGATATATGCAACGAAGAAGATGACTAGATATCAATGAAGAAAAGAGGAGGGGAAAACTCGCGTTCTTAAGAACAAACGGAATGAAGGAGCACAACATTCTAGTAGCCAACCTTGGAATTATTATGTAAAGCCTATTCACTTCCTATTCCTATGCTCACAGCTTACAAATGCGCATTCCCATTGCCACACCCTTTCGTAGCATATTGATTACTCATCAACTCAACTCAACTCAACCCAATCCAATCCAATCCAATCCATCATATCATCGAGTTAATTCGTCTCCATGCAGTACGATCCAAACCCAGTAACCCTCTCTCACACAAAAACCACTCCACATTACGTCATCCCACCTCATCCCATCTTATCTCAAACCCCAGAGCCCCAGTTTATCAACACCACCACATCTGCGCGGCGCTTACTACTCCTAGAATTGTATTGTATCGCTAGCATAGCGTAGCATAGCGTTGCGTTGCCTATATAATGTAATATAACATCGGGATTTGAAAAACCCCATTCCATATCGGGATTTGAATACCTATTGATATCCCGGTACTCCGTAGATACTAGATATATACTCGTAATGATTAAACAAGAAGCAAAGAAGAAATACCATATCTAAATAATTATATTATTCAGATGAGTAAATGTATATATAGAATAAAAGAAATGCCGCTCGAGTATATATAACACAATACTTATTATTATATATATTCTATAAACCAAAAAAACCATATCTCCTCCCTCTCCACACCCCCCTCTCCTTCCCCTTCTCCACAATAAAAAAAGAGAAATAGGGCATATCAACAAGTGGGTCTTCGCCGGCAGATAGGTGGTACAAGCCGCAGATTCTCTGATCAGTCTATGGACCAGGACCAGGTTGCATGCGAAAGAAAAGGGATATTCAATCAATATAGAGAGGTATAGGGTATTCTCATTTGAATCATCGAAAACCTATAACCAGAACCCAGCGGTATCATCGATATCATATTATCGTATTCTTATGCACCAACTACCAACTACCAACCACCAACCATAATGTATATCATTCATAGCCTTTTTACAGGTGTGCTAAGTAATTTCGAACCCAACTCCAACTCCCATTTCCATGCTTCCATTTCCATCGCAATGGTATGAATATAAATGCAAGACAAGACAAAAACAATCAAAGCCCAACCCTAATCTGATGCAAAACTCTAATCCATGCACGCTAAAAAAAACATCACAATTCCAATCCATGTACATCGTCTACCCTATGAGGAATAGGGTTCAGTGACTCTTCGGCATGCCTCTCGAATTCATCGTCAAAAGCTTTGATATCATCCTCATCTAGAGTACCGACAAAAGCACGTTGAACAAAGCTGAGCCAAACTCTATTCTTTTCCTTCTGTTTGCGATGGTGCTTCTTTTTCTTGTGCTTTTTTGGCTTCTTTTTCTCGGCATCGATATCGTGATTTTCAGGATCTTCTATACTTTCGTCCTCAGGAATATATGCCGGCTTCTTATCATTATCTCTATTCTCTATATCATCTTCGTAAACTTCAGGTTCCTCTAATATGTCTCCGTCCTTGACACGATCCCCCTTTTGGGGTTTATATTTTCCAATTCTATGAGCAAGCTTGAGATAACTCTTGACCGTCATATCTTTCAGCTTGTAGATTGGATCCGTGAAAGTATCATACTCGACTTGATAGTGAAAGGCGCGTGGATTCGGGTCATCGTCTTTGGGAACCTTTCCGCCATGCTTACCGTTACGCCATTTCTCCGTATCGATTTCATCGTCGGATTCCTCTGATGTCATTTCAAGATTGTTGATGTAAGTCAAATTTGCAAAGTATTGAGTATACCCGAGTAACGTCAAACTTTGCGGAGAGTATGCCGGACCAGGAGGTGCATCTTTCGAAGGGGGAGATGGAATGATAAATCCTGGGTTGGATGGTGTCGGGTTCTTGATCTTCTTCTTGTCTTTGTGGTGCTTCTTCTTTTTCTCGGCAGAGGCATTGTCATCGTTCGCATAGATATAGTCTGTCGAATCTACATTGGCATCGACGTTAAATCGATCCTCGTCTTCTTGATCAAGCCAATCAATTTGTTCACTACTTTCCACGAGTGAATCAGACCAGGTCGCTGTGTCGTCCAATCCTGTGATGTTGTACTCAATCACTCGAAGAGTAGGGAAATAATTAGGCACAATGCTCGGTCCGACGTTTGTTACGATGAATCTTTCACCCCATGGACCTCCAAATTTCTTCAGCTCTTTCCTCTTCTTGTCTTTCTTCTTATCCTTCTTGCTCTTCTTGCCCTTCTTGTCCTTCTTAATTTTTTTCTCATCGGAGGCATTATACAACTCTGAGTAGTCCAAATCTTCTTCGCCAATGTCCATCGAGATGGGTAGGTTTTTTGGATTAGGCAATACAGACCAATCCTCTCGAAGATCTTCCAGGTAATCTCCAGCGGATTGAATTGTAAACTCATCGTCCATTAGCGCGCGAGGAGGTGCAACCGATTTACCCCCAAACAACAAGAGATCAATATCTTTAGTGTCATGTATCATGAAATGATCAATATTCATATGTCCGTATAAACCTCCAATAATAATGTCTCGATATTGCTGAAGCCACAAGGTATATTTTTGCCAACAAGTCTCGTCCCAAAGTGATTTGCTATCTGTTCGAGCTGGAGGTACATGTCCGGTAAGGATAACCTTCATTCCTCGGTCGCGCATAAATTGTAGTTGAATTCGAAGCCATTCCATATGTTCATATCCGGGCTCTGAGCGTAATGCGCAACCATCCACAGCAGCATTATGGCTGAAAAAGTATAAAGTATTGAGACTGAAGACGGCCAATTTCTTAGGAATAACCTCGACATAATACCATCCTCCACGTTGAAAACCATGCCTCTGCTCTTCTGGTATGAATTTATCCCATATGTCCGTGTACGTTTTCAACCATTTATTCGGACCCGAAAGTAAAATATTATGTGGAAGGATGTCGTTATTGCCAAATGTTGATATAACCGGAATCGATAAATCTTCCCCATCCCCAAAAGTCTCCAAGAATTTATCTGCGATCTTTCTGTTGGTATCGAGGACTTCGCTTTGGATTCGAGGAATCTTCTCATCGCTATCGTGACGTGCACTATTCCTAATCAGCATTTCCCCTCGCACAAAGCCAAATCACCATTGCATCGATTGGCTGTTCGTAAAGGCAGAACCAACCTGTCCCCTGTCCATACAACAAAGTCCACGCTATCCCTCACATTTTCCTTTATCCATTTGAAAGTCGCATCTACGAGGGTATGAGGAGTGTCGCAGTCAGAAGTTTCTGCCCCGTATGTGCCAGCGGTCCCTTTCCCTCGATGGCAAGCATCATCTTCGTCGGTGGAGGAAAAGGCTTTATAATGAGGATCTTGATGTAAATCTGTAATAAATGAGCATCGTACAGGACCATTAAATGGCAGATTTAGGATTTAACCCCACCTGTAATGTGCAGGAATCGGCCATGCAGACGTTTGGAGGAAGCTTGCTGATGGTGTGTAGGATCCAGGTCCTCCAATGGCACTTGCAGGCTCGATTGGCTGGTACCGAGGGGTTTGGCATCAACAGCAGGAGAATTTTGAAGCAGACAAACTGCTATGTATATTGCGTTTATACGCATATTTTCGAAACGAAACAATCTATAAAAGGAAAGGAAGAAGTATATGTATTTAGGTAAAGGATGTCATTCTTGTATATAGTATACGAATAGGTAAAGGAAGGGTCCGAATAATATTAAAAGAGAAAAGGTTGATTGTGAATAATGATTCAGATACTCGAGTAACAGCTGCTCGACGTTGGTTACTTCCCCTCGTGAGAAGATTCGCGATCAAAGGGCGGGTACCTTGGTACCTTGTATGGGTGCATGCAATCTGAGATATTTAATTTTTGAACAACGATGATGAATGATGATACTCGAGCAGTGATGAACTTGTGATGAGTTGTTTCGGGTTCAAAGTTCCAAATCTGATGAATCGTTGGATGTAATGATTAGGAAATGATTATGTTGGACTTTTCTATTTATATTTTATATTTATATTTACATTTATATCTATCTAATACTGAGTATTTCTTTCGTAAAAGGAATAAGAAAAGTTCCCCTCATTCATACCATTCATCCATTCATACCCTACTTGCTTGATTAACTATCAAGGTGTTATGAATGTCTCACTCATCAAAGAGTCAATCTTTTGCCTTGTTCCCTTTCAAAAAAGATTCATTCAACCAATCATCAGTACACGTGGATAAGTCTCGAGTCTCCCCAGTCACGTTTGGTTTTGATGACCAGGTTATGATCAAGAGGAAGAGAACTACGAAGACGCTTATTTCAGCACATCACTCACGCGACACCCTTTTTCAAGACGAAATGACGATAATCGATAATAATGATATCGTAGATATTTGCAAATGTAGGATCAGGTTATATACCCATACAAAATATAATAATAAAGTAGTGCAACGTTTAATGTGCGAATTTATGTTGTGACTATTATTATTATTAGATAGACTACCGGTACTGTCTGTCTGTCTGTCTGTCCTCGAAATTAGCTCTAGAACCCCTTTTTTCATTACCGAGGTTTAAGACTACTCTCTATTGATCTTGTAATGTCCCAAAGCAATTTTTGATATTTCTAGTGAAACTGATTTTGAGATGCTTTTGTAGATAGAACTTTAGATGCATCAAGTGAGTTCCTACGAGGATTCTCGAGTTACTTCGCAGTGTGGACGGACTTGGTGGAGTTGAATTTCTAACGGTAAGCTTTGTGGCGCCCGAACCGCCATCTTTGAAAACGTCTACAAAAGACCTCGATTTCATGTTGAAGATATTGACATCTTTCAGTCGCCGAGTGCTCTTGAGAGTTTGTAGAGGCATACTTAAGAAGTGTCTGTACCATCATGACAATTCATAGAAGCCAATAATATGTGGTTATTTTACTCCGTACTGTCTTTTATCTCTGAGTATGGTCGGGGCCTCGGTATCTACACGAGTAAGCGTCGATCCATATATCTCAGTCGGTATCCAACCAAATCTCTTCAAACTAGCTGGGATTGATGTAAGACTGTGGGAAGTTTCATGATTTATTCATATATTCATACAAACACCATTATAGTATCCAAAGTAGATATCATGGCGCCGTGACGGAGTGGTTAACGTGATTGACTAGAAATCAATTCCTTTCGGGGGCGCATGTTCGAATCATGCCGGCGTCGACATTTCTCTTTTGTTTTTTCTTGCGATTTTTTGGCAATTTCTTCCAGATTTTTGCATCTCATTTCAGATCTTCATTTGAAATCTACATCGAGACAGCACGGGAGTCTTAACAAAAAGTGTATAAGGATTTGGACTTGCATTCATACTCAATACATCAAAATCTATCTTTTATTTTATGCAGGGGATGATAATCGAGTCAAGTTACTAGCTTTGCCCTTTCACTCAATCAAAGGATGTGATCTACACGAAATGGCTTAGTCTGGTGGCAGTCTTGCTAGAACAGTTGTTTATTACTATGAAAACCGCAAATATATACAAAGTTGTCGGGTGTGTAAGTTATGATTAATTTCAAAGCAGTCTCTACCGTCCAAACTTCTTCAACTCTAGATATCTCAACGGTGGAAACACAATGGCCGTCAAGCCGACGGCGAGCCAATCTCCAATATCACCACCATATTCGCCCCCAATCCTTAGAGCAATAGGACCTGTGTACCAGATCTGATACATGCCTACGATCGCCCCAGCAATTCCAATCAGAAACGACAACAGGGCCGCGAATCCAACCGGTAGCTTGGTTCTGTCGTCATAAATGGACCAGTCGAATGATTTGCCCGCCAGTTTGTGGAAGATGAAATATTCCTCCAGACTGATGGTAAGCCAGGGGCAAATCCAATATCCCATCATCGGGAGAAAGTTTTCAAACACGGAATAGAGCTTGTTACGACCGCAGACGGAGCAGACGAGCTGCGTTGCTTAGGTTAGCATCCTTACATGAACAGATGAATTAGAATGTATGGAATGAGGCTTACCTCAACTGCTGTGATCAGAATACACCAGAACCAACGTGGAACTTTACTCGCCCAGCGTCCAAGAACCTGTATTGTCAATGCCGCACTGTAGCTACATGGTGCATTATTGGTGATGGAACTCAGGGCAAGAATGACGACGCAGAAGCCGCCAAAACCACCGAGGCCACTATAACAAGCATAGAGAAGTGCACCAGCCGAGACATCGTAGGCGTCACTCCATGCTGGGATGTTTGGCACACCAGTAGCAATGCCAATTCCAATGATGTTGCCGAAAATCACAGCGATCCAGACGCCGGACCACGTGGACGCAAATGTCACCCATTTGGGATGATCTTTGGGATAATAGACATATAAGTCGGCGCTGATGGCAGTAAATCCAACCACGCTGGCAAATATTAAGGCGAAGAATGAACAGCGGTTGGCGTTAATGGTTCCAGAGTCACCGACGGAGACTGCGTTGATGTCGAAGTTCTTGCCAACGCAACCGATAAGCACGAACATGACAATCGCCTGTGGAATGTATCCGAATCTGTTTGTTCGTAAGCTCTTTGAACATCAACTATTAGTAGTGACTGTTTTTACCTCTCGATCTTATTCACATATTCGATACCGAAAGTAGCGATCACACCAATGCAAAGCGCGGTAATAACGCATCCAACGGCCAAGCTCAATCTTCCTCCAGCAACTGCTGTAATCATTTGGCCAGTAATGATACATCCTATGGTGCCAAAGCCTATTTGCTGAACAATATTGCAGCAGCATGCAATTTTCGAAGGCCAATAGCCCATGAAATATCGACCAATAATCTGTCAAGGCGCAAACCGAGGTTAGCTCAAAAACAAACAGTGATAGATGAGGAAACATACCTGAGTCCTGTTACCACTTTCCGGTCCAAAGGTCGCCATGTATGCGATTGCAGACGAGGCGAGTGCATTCGAAAAAATAACAATGCAGACACTATCCACCCAGCCGAGCTTATATACCAAAGGTCCGAGAAAACCAACGATAATGTTCACAATTTGCAAGTTGATGCTGAACCATAGCGAAAACATGTGGAAGTAGTCATGAAGCGGCTGAGGCACATCTTTCTCGTCGTCCATCACCCGGGTGATGCCACGGGCTTCCACTCCCCAGATTTTCTCCATCTTGACGCTCCAGTAGCCCAATCTTCCCTCGGAGCGAGGGGCATGAGCACTGTCGTTTTCGAGGGTGGAATTGCCATCGCGGCCTATGGAGTGGTTGATGGTGGCTTGGACTTGCACTCCCTTCTCGATATCATGCTCTGCAGCAGAATCCATGATGGAAAATAGAAAGTTCGCAAGGTCAAGAACAAGAACAAGAACAACGACGAGGAAAAAAGTTTGGGGTTGGAAGCATTGATATGCCGGTAGGATAAGCTACCATACCGCCAGTTCGACGACAGCACACGAAAAGGTTCACATTTTCGATTACACCGCACGTTGGCGCACGTTGGTTGATGAGAAGAGCTGCATTGCATAATTGGAGACGAAATATGGCATCCTGATTAGACGATCCTTCATATATATTATTATATATAGTTAGCGAGTGGGGACTTTCGCTTGAAGAAAATTGAATTTAGCTATCAAGCGGCTTATGGGGCCGATTCGTTGGATATCAAGGGTTCTTGCAGGGTTATTCGGGCCAGACCACGGTAAAGAGAGATATGATGGGTTGACAGCTGATTTTAACACGCATGAAAACTCTAAAAGGTGGATTTATAAAGTATTCTACGAGTTTTATTGGGGGTTGGACTATCTGAACGAGACATTTCGACAGGCGAGCTAATCTCAAACCCAACGTAGATTTTCGAATGTGTTTCTCCTCTGGCAAAGCACAGACTTGGAACCTCGAAATTGAAGATCGTACCGGTTTATTAGCTTCTTCTCGAATGTTGAGCTGAACCGCGAGGATGGAAATGGCATCTAGATTGAGAGCACGGGATGTTAATATCAAGGGTAATTTTATATCCTTTTGATATCAGGACGCGTTTTTGTTTCTCGTATGTGTTTTTTTCTAGACACAATGAAAACTCGCATGACAATTCCTTCTCCACCAGTACAGTTTATATTCTACAGAACCTTTCGATTCTTCGACTTGTACATTGTTGTAATATGATTCCTGGAAGACGGTCCGCTGTGACGACTGAATTGGTAGTCCTCAGTGTAATTGTAACTATCGTTGTAGGAGCTAGAATGTGAGTACCTCTCAACTCTTAACATGTTCTAAATTGAAGTATCCTTTTCATTAATTGAACACTTCCTGACCTTACCGCAGCGCTTCTAAAATGATTCGGCACAACTCCTTTGAATCGGTGAAGAGCAATAGGTCCGCGAGTCTCCTTAAAACACCTCGGATCTTTGATTGGGGTGATTATATCATGTTTTTCAATCTTGTATGTCTGACCGGTTCCTCTATATGTGCGGTAGTCATTTAGAATATCCTTTTTTCTATGGCTCTATACTGATTAATCGTCAGGGCTGATACAATAGCAAGTACAGGCCACTTTTGTCACAGTCATCTTCTCCATCTGGGTCCAGGTTCTGTGGGGAAATAACTTTGTCACGGCGAAAGATGTAGTCGATTGGACACCCGAAGACTTCCATCGAGCAACCATCGGCTCTATCTTTGGAATTATCATGGAGTTCAGCAAGGTTACATGCGTTTGGGGCTGTAAGGCTTGTCTTTTGATACTTTATTTCGGCATGACGTGAGTTCTTCCTTTTACTTGATTGACTTGCTTGCATCAATTGCAGCGAAGGGTTCTTAACATCACTGCTAGTTTCAGTTCTTCACCCCAGAAGAAGTCCCTGAGGATTGATATGTATCTATCTACTATCAATTGGTTAAAAAGATCTCGGAAATTGACATAATAATCGAATGCTTTAGAAAGGGGTTGAACAAATACCACAAAGCCGTTATCGCAGTGTCGGTCTATGTAGCTATGGGCTTTGTCATCGTCATAGTCTTCTTAATGGGAGTCTGGTGTCGTCCATTCCATCTTTACTACGACACGATTCCTCTTTCAGCAGCGAATGGTAAGTGATGCTCTTGATTGATCCCAAATGGTCTTTGGCTAATCGTCTTATCAATAGAGCAATGCATGACCTTTAGGCATCATATGATACTTGATGCATGCTTCAATATTACGGGAGATGCAATTATGTTATGCCTACCCATTCCCCTCTTAATCAAAGCAAGGTTGGAACTTGTGAGGTTAGTCACAATGCGTTCTGAGTCTCTCCAGACAACCGAGAACACAACTAATCCCCATTCTCTCCAGAAAGTGTGCCCTGATCGCCGTTTTCAGCATGGGCGGACTTGTAGTAAGTTCCAACTTCACCCATCACCCCTTTCTTTCTTCCCTCTCCTCCTCTCCTCCTCTCCTCCTCTCCTCCTCTCCTCCTCTCCTCCCCTCTTCTCCATCTAACACCCCCACCCCCCTCAGATCCTCTGCGCCACCCTCAACCGAATCACAAACTTCGTCGCCCCCATGGGCTCCCTCACCTACCTCAACTGGTACGCAGGCGAGATCTCCACCGCCATGATCGTAGCCAACGTACCACATCTATGGCCTCTCATCGCGCGCATCGCCCGTCTCGGTGCTTGGGCTCCAAATTCTTCTGGTAACGATCGCTCTCAGATTACGATGCAGAATATGAGGTTGAATAATCGTTTTAATATGGTGGGGAGCGAGGATAATATTGTGGGTGGGGGGTATGAGGCGCATGTGCAGGATGAGCAGGATAAGCAAGATAAGAGAGATAAGCGGGAGCTGCAGGAGAAAGGGGAAGAAGGGTTTGCGGGGGATGATGATTCTGCGGATGATGATTCTGCGTCTCGAATTATGAAGACTGTGGATCTTACGCAATATAGTTCGAGCACATAAATTGGCAAGGTTCTCCAGGTATAAGTGATTCAGACATTGGGGTAACAGGACCACGCAATTGTCGCAACGGTGTCATACTGCACTTAGACTGTATTTAATATGCGAGATGTGGGTTAGTTTTTGGCAAAAATACATACGACCTCACTTCAACCCAACACCTCCTCCAAGCACTTTCCCCCCATGTAAACTCCACTCTACTTCTACTCCTACTTTTCAATAACCAACACTCCATAATTAGGAACCTTCCCATAACTAACCAACTCCTTCAACCCTGCACCCCCCTCCCCTCCCCCCTCAACCACCTCTCCGGCACCTTCGTAACCCCCCACTCCAACCTCCCCATCAACCCCGCCTCCCTCGCCGCCTCCTCGTAGACCCTCTTCTCTAAATGAAAACACTCGAACGCGAAATTTCCCCCCGGCGTCTCCCCCCGCACCCGAAACTTTACCCCCTCCTCCACATCCTCCATGCACTCATACACCAAATACCCACTCCCCCCCTCACTCAACGGTCTGATATCCGCCTCCCCAACCACAGCCTCCTTCGGCCTCTCCGCCGGGGGCACCGTAACCCCCACAAACCTCCCTCCCTCCCTCAAATTCCCCGCCACATTCCGAAACATATCCACCAACCCCCTCCTATCAGCCGCATAATTCAATAACCACGCTCCAAACACAATATCAAACGGAGCCCCAGCATAAACACTCGGAACCGCACAATCAGCCTGGAGGAACGACACTTGGTTTTCGTGTCCAGTGCCCTTTCCAATTTGAAGCGCAGACTCGATCATGATGCGGGATATATCGACGCCGACTACGGAGGAGGCGCCCCAGTCGAGAAAACTATATGTGTAGAAACCGGTGCCGCATGCGAGCTCGAGGATTCGCGCAGATTGAATGTAGGGTGTGAGTGCGGTATGGACGTTTTCGCGCTCGATGAGAGCGATGGAGGCGGTGCGGATGTAGTCGTAGGGGGCTTGGATGGTGTCGTATTGTTGGGTTGGGGTTGTCATGATTGCGGAATGGATAGATAGATAGATGGGTCTTGGAAATGGGGGGTTCTGGACTTAGATTAGCGAGTAGGGTGTAGGTCAGAGATAAAGATTGTTTACTGCTGGCGGATGTCTACAGTAATGTTTAATCTGCGAGCGAAAAACTGGAGTCTGAGGCGAAGAATGAAGAACTATTATCAGGTTCTAAATGGATCTCATCATCAGCAAATCGGTGATCTAAACCTACTTCAGAGATATCCCATTGGGGTATAGGCCCCGGTAATTTCTCCCTGCTTGTCCCGCATTAGATGATGCATTTGTACCCTTGTGGATACTGACCGGTATCCCACAATTTGGACAAGGGTGTATAAGGTGGCGCCAAAGAAGACTAAATCAGATGCAGATGCAGTTGCAGAAGTGGGATGGTGAAAAACCGGTAGTATCCCGAGAAATAGAGTTGGCTCTTCGGTAAAAAAAATATACATGTTTACTAATGTGAATTTTATGTACCACCTACCACCGAAATTATATATACCGGTATACGATTTGAAAGACTCCCATTCATCATGAACCATCCCAATACCAACTCTTCTAAACTAGCCATATATACAGAGTACTTTTGAATACACAACTAAAATCTACTTACCAAAAAGTCAAGCAACCACATCTATATAAGATTCCGAGAGAAAAAAAGGATGAAGAGCCAAAAGAAATTTCGTTTAATGGAGGGGATTTGAACTACACCCGATTTGAACGGATATCCTTTCGATCTGGAATCGAACGCACTACCGTTAGTCCTATTGATCAATATATGCAAAGGAGATGCTATTGTTGTGTATAGTTTTCTCAGTTCTCAACCTCGGGTAGTACATGGTGTAATCTGGCCATCGAGAAAGCCATGAGCACTCACTCGATCGCGAGTGAGATCTTCGTATTCGTCTTCGAGTATGGGGTCGAAGCTGTGGAGTTCGTCGTTAGAGGGACCGAGAAGGGGGAGCCGAAGGAAGAAAGGGGGAACAATTATACATACCCTTGCTCACCAACAATTGCCTTGGTGTATCTACATAGTTGTTCTAGTTGTGCTACACACCCCGTGAGTGATTGACTGTAACCTACAAGACTTTATATTAGCATCCGTCATCTGGACGACCACGATTACACGGGTATACTCGGGTTTCTGGAGAGCTTAAGCAGAAAGGTTCAAGTACGTACTGTAACTATAGATTTGCGACCATTTTCTTCCTCCAGGTAAATTATCTACCGTCTCGTTCGAATCATCATTTTCCTTGCATTTGCCTTTCCTTTTTCTCCTCTTCGACTTCACAGATACACCGCTAGATTTCGCAAGAGCATTCATAGATTCAAGGTGAGCCATGTGATCTAATAGGCGCTTTCGAGCGGATGCTGCGGATGGGAGATATCGCTGTTTTCTTATTAGGAACAGAACTATCTCGTGGTATTGTAGATTGGAAAGTTTAAAACCTACAGGAACTTTTCTATCACCTCGCAATGCCCCAGCCAATACATACAAGTTCATGAGGACGCAAGCGACCGCATCACGTCGAAAGGCAAGTAGTGATTCAGACGCCTCCTGGTTCTCGGAAAGATAGTGTGGATGGAAGAATAGTGAGGACTGTCGTACGGAAATAAGATACTCGAAGAACCGTTCGCAGCTATCGATTAATGCTGAATAGGGAAGTGGGTTAAAAGGACCACGAAGGCGGATTTCGTGACGAGTGAGTGCCTAGGATGTTCCAGTTTGAATGTATAGAATAAAGTGGAAGCATTGTATCATACCAATAGTTGTCGTAATCTAACAAATCCTTCTCTCAGACGACCTTCCAGCATTTCTGAGGAAAATAAGCTTTGCATCAGAATTATGGGAGTCGACATACCAGATTGTTGCATATCTTTCACACCTGGCTCTTCTCCATCTTCGTAATAAACATATTTTGCCACCACACCTAAGATAATTAGTTCAGTTCGTGCTGATACTCGATATGTGACTTACCTCGATATATAATACTGGAGTAAATGAGCATTGACGACAACGCCTTCCTCAATTCATGCCTCGCGACAAATGGCCAAAGGAACCAATTCACAACCACAGCAGCTACAATACCAACCACGAAAGCAACTCCACGAGTCCAAGCCACAGTGATGACTGAGGCATTTTCGGGAGCTGTATATGCACCTAATGACACTACCACAAACGAGATGCAACCTACAATGCCTGATCGAGGGTGAGGGCTTTGGGTAAACCGGTATATCATCGGAATCATAAATATAGCAGCAAATACAGCCATAACGTATGGATTTCCATTATCAGCACCGTAAGCTATACCTCCCCACACAGCACCAAGTATGGCACAAAAAGCTCGAGTTACTAAGTCCTGGATGTTTCCACCCACCCTGCAAAAGATCAGTTCAATCTCCAGATCCAAGCTGAAGATTTGAGACTCACCTTGGATGCATCATTATCCAGACCATTATAACCGCCCACCAACTTTCATATTTGTTCCACCAGTCTCTACTCTGATTCAACCATGCTGGTACTGACAAAAGAGAAGTTACTATCGCTACTTTGAACGCAAATCTAATCTCGAAGCCTTGTAAACGATGAAGAACTTTCCAAGTTTTGTATCTCAGGCGTTTTTGTTTGGAAGCCAGTGAATTCCTATCCATCGCAATTTCTTCCTCCTCCGCATACGCCCCTCTAGTATCGGTAGGCTCAAGGTCATCATAATTTTCTTCTCCTTCTGTACCCCTTTCCTTGCGAGGAGTAGGTTTGTAAACATTTGCCATTCCTTTCATTATTCTGGCAAGTTCTCTTTGACTTCGGAAAAAGAAACCTGCCGTTACACCTCCTCGGTCATGTCGTACCTGTCCATTTGTACGTTGAAGAGCTTTACCAAATGGATAAGATGGTAGGTAGAGTCGCCAACCAGGACGTCTTTGTTGCATTTCGTTCACTTTAATGAGAAGAGCTTCGGCGCTGTTTGCCGCTTGCCTGATAGGATGAACAAATAGGAATATCTCGACAACTTCCGGGTGGTTAGAATATGTTGGAGGTAGATTTGGATTTCGGAGTAATCTATGATTATCTCTGTTAGTACTCGTTGCTAATATCAACAGTGAAATCCAATTCGGAAGTTTTGAAACTTGTAAAGCAGCGGATTTTTGAATATGGTTAGAATCATATTTGAATGGCTTCTATAGTCTAAGCAGATGTTCAAACGACGGAATAGGATGTTCCAAATACACTCAACATTCTCAGCGAATAAAATGTACCAAACGGAATCATAGATATTTTTCCTGTTGGGATACTATCCAAACTATTGAAAACCCTGGACAGATGGATGTGCCATTACAAGGTAAACGACTTCGTGGCATTCAAAGACAATCCAAAAAACTAAAGGAATCTATACATACTGCTCTTCTTCCTCGTCATATTTGATCTTGGCCTTTCTAATACTTGTTATCGCACCCACAATATCAGAAGAAACATCTTTGGGAGGTCCGAGAAATACCCTGTATCCAGACATCTCCATCAAAACGGCATCGCATCTCTGTAAAGCCGTTTTCAAGCATATCAACAAATTCGACGTAGGTTCTGCAAGTTTACTGGCTACCAACTCTACTGCTCGATCCTCAGTATTCGATCGTTGAAGTTTTGGGCGTCGTGGACCATCAATATTAATCACCGAAGGAGATTGAAATCGTCGAATGCTGAGGACTGATATAGCTGGTGACAGAGGTAGGTCGGAATCTTCCTCCTTATCGCTGTCATTGAATAAATGCGATTCCATTCGGAGAGATAGTAAAGATCTGATCACTGCTTGCATGAGATTTCGCAATGCCATAACATCCGAGGGTTTGAAGCGGGTAATAGAAATATCAAGAACCAAATCTCTGTACGCTTGTGAGAGATTGACAAAAGTGAATGCCAATTGCCTATGTGTGGTTACGGGTTCTGATTGGGGGAGTTGAAGTCCTTTTTGCATAATATCGAAAGCATTGTGTAAGCTCACAGCCAATGATCTTGCGCCGGCATCAGGAACTACCTAGATTGTGTTAGTAAGGCCTTGTAAGAGAAGCAAACGGTCGATCGGATTCGAATAATACAGGCTCTCTACTAGGCTCCAAATATGGCCAAACTCGACGAGGGAAGTAGCAGCTGTGACAGAAGAAGTTTTGCCGGACGCATGTATTAAAGGAAGTATACTTACAATACAACACACCAGGAGAGCAATAGCCTGTCCAAGCAACCATGGTATGCCATATTCGAAGAGCACCTTCCAAGCGATAGTCTGGGAAGTATCGGCAAGACAGGTATAAAGAACCGCCATGCCGGCACACAAGACCAACTGATACAATCTGATGTAATATGAACGAATTGCCGCGATGAACCCCATGAAGATAACGAGGAAAGCTGCCAGAATTCCTCCATATCCTCTTCTGGCAACAGATGTGGAATCTGATAACCATAGTGCAAAGGCTCCCCACCCAAGTCCTCCTGCAGTTCCAAGAATTGTTAATATAGTACCATCAATCTGAGCGCCGATACTTCGTCCTGAATGATTGATGATTGCGGATATAACCATAATATAATTGTAACGGCCAAGCCAGTTTCTGATGACAGGGACTAAACATAAGATGTAAGAGATGAAGAAAGGTAGAAATGACTTGATAAGCTTAATGCCAGCTCGTGTGGTCACCAATTGTCTAGATATTTCCTTAATTCCACGCCATTGTCTCGGGAAGAAATGTTTCAATGACAATGGATGCTTCTTCTTGAATGCTGCTGGTAATGTAAATTTTGCATCTTTCATGAGTTCTTCATGAGTTGTCTTCGGTGGCTTGAAGAATGCAGCATCAAAGAATCCATCTCTCATTTCTTCGACACCATAAGTTTCGAGATCTAAATTATAATCTTGTAGAAGGTCGGATAAATGACTCATGTGATTTTGACTAAAACTGAAACTGCTTCTTGGTGAAGCTGGATTTGATGTTGGAGGACTTTTGACCGAATTTGGTCTTGAACTAGCAAGTGATCTTGATCGTCGTGGTGTATATGATCCCATATATATACTGGCAGCTGGTGATCTTGTCTGACTGCCTTCTGGTTCTTGTACTCGAATATGTCTATCATTAGCATTTCCTTTGGTATGTATAGGCCTGTGAAGCCTTCGATGGAGACGTGATCCATCATCTGCCGTAATTGAGTCTCTTCGACCAAATCTCGGTGTGAATGATGGCGACGTGAAGATTATTTGAGGCGGAGATGATGGAGGAGAAGATAAAGGAGATAATTGATAATTATCTTTACTGTCTCTATTGGAAGCCATTGTGGCTGTGGCTGTCTGTGGCTGTTTATTACAATGACGCAAATGTGAGACTACCAGTACACCACTGTATTCAAATACATTATTGCCAAATTCGATATATCGAATTGGTAAACAAACGGTATGTAGGTAATGACAATGAGAGATAGGAAAATATATATTTACAGAAATTCCACCTTTACGTCTCCACTAGATGGCTAGGTGGATATATTAATATGGAGACTTGAGATTGAGATTCAGTTTGATCTTCACTTTGGCGGTATGAAGGGATGTTAAGGTAATGTCTTTGTTATAGGATTGTCCAAAATATATCCACATTGGGGATCATTATATTATTTCGATGCTTTTATAGCTATTCGAGTCCGTTATAACCTATTATCAACCAATCATTTGCCACTTGGGATATTGAACTATTATCGTTCAATTTAGATAAAACCGAGTACGAGTGAGTAATCTAAGAAAATTATCTATATCGAGTTATTTTGATATTTATTTATAGTTATTACTTTTATTATTTGAGTACTTACTTTCTATAGAAGTTTTTATATATTTATTAATTAATTATATCTACTTTGAAATTTAAAACTATTTCTTTTTATAACTTAAGCTTTTCAATAGTTAGTTATATTTATTCGAATAAATTCAATTATTATTTTAAAAGATATATATTAATATCTTCTACTTTTCAATATCTCTTTTATTACTTCTTATATTAGTTTTATATATATATTTATTAATTAATTAACTGTTCTTTAAAATTTAAAACTACTTTTATATATTCATTTATTAATTAATCAATTATTAATTAAACCTCGAGCCTTCAACCAATCATGATCGCTAAATTTAGGAACTATCTATTCAGATGACTAAGATCTCGCTAAGTAGTAAATTCAGTTTTAACCTTGTTCAACCTCACCAAACTCCTTGGAAATATCTCCACACTCCACTTTCCTTCTCTCCTTCTCCCGATCTCTCCTAATCTCAACCCCCCTTCAAGATTGGACAACCCAAAATGAGTTCCGCTACATTAAATGGTGTAGGCTCTGTCCTCAAGTCACCAGTTCCGAAGATTATTGATTTGGTGACCGATGATGAAGATTCTAAAGTTGATGATGCAGCGTTACATGGTGACTCGCGTGATAATTCACGTGGCAGGTCGCACCACCAAAATGCAGTACCACGGGACCTTGACGAAGCTTTGAGTGCGAATGAAAGCGACTCAGAAGATGAACTGGAATTGAAAAAAGAAGAAGAAGAAGATGATGATGATGACGATGACGACGATGACGACGACGACAATAATAGCTTTCTTGAAGATCTCATAGAAGGTTTGACTGAAGAGGATTTATTAGAAGACAGTCGTAAGCTTTTACCTTCATCCCCCTAGATCGTCAAAGGCGCTAAAAATAGATATCAGAATTCAATCCTGAGCTATGTTCTCGTGAGGAAGGAGAGAGATATCGTCGCGATCTTCGAAGACTCGGACCTCAAGAATTCTGTCGAACTACTGTGGAATCGGGCACTGTTACTGCTAAAAAGCTCTTGACTGCGTTTGCTATCCGCCCACCAAGCTTTCTTGAAGGCCGACCCGATGAAGATTACTATGAAATTTTAAGTCACGCTTTACGCCGTGAATTATCAAAGCGTGTGAAGCTTCAACAGTATAACAGTGTCGATGATGCCATAGAGCTCATCAGAAATGCTAAGAAGATCATTGTCCTCACTGGCGCTGGTATTTCCACTTCTCTTGGCATACCCGATTTCAGATCTGCAAATGGATTGTATGCGCAAATGGCACATCTAGGTCTTACCGATCCTCAGGATGTATTCAACATTGAACTGTTCCAAGAGGATCCAACGATCTTTTTTGGTATTGCCAAGGACATTTTGCCATCACTTGGTCGATTCTCCCCAACCCATAAATTCATCTGGCTTTTACAGAACAAAGGCAAATTACTCACCAATTACACACAAAATATTGACGACATTGAAAGTGCGGCGGGAATCCTTCCGGAGAATCTCATTCAGTGTCATGGATCGTTCGCAACCGCCACATGTCAAAAGTGCGGACATAAGGTGAAAGGAGACAGAATTACCGACGAGATCAAAGCTGGCCATATACCACGATGCAGAAAGTGCATACTCACTGCCCGGCCAACCCAAACCATCAAGCGCAAGAGAACTTCGAACGGTGGTGAGAAGAAGCGTCGTCGATACAGCGATGATGATGATAGCGTCGAAGACGATATTCCCGAAGCTGGCATCATGAAACCGGATATTACCTTCTTCGGCGAACAACTACCCGACACTTTCTCCGACCGACTAAGCAAACGCGACAGGGATCAAGTCGACCTTGTAATCACCATCGGTACATCATTAAAGGTAGCGCCAGTCAGCGAAGTGGTGCCATATCTCCCCAGCCACGTACCGCAAATTCAAATCAATCGTGACCCCGTCCGTCACGTCGACTTCGATATCGACCTTCTCGGCGATTGTGATATCGTCGTCGTGGAACTGTGCAAGGCTCTAGGATGGAACCTCGAGCATGAGATGATTCCAGAAGATCAGAAAATTGACATAGCCCCAGTCCCCGGACATCCCAGTCGTCACACATTCAAGCAGAAGAACCCCGAGATTGATTGAGGATGGCGATGGTTGATGAATAATAATCTTGCTGCATGGCGTATGGGTGGGGAATGGAATGAAATAGCTTCATGTCGTTCTTACTTTTTTTCTCCGTTTCTTTCTGGACAGACATGAAAAAGACACCATTATTTCAATATGGAAAATCGAAAGCCGAAAGTCGAAAGCCGAAAGGGAGAATTCCTTGAAAATAGAAATGTACGGAGCGGGCGGCACACATAGATTTTGTTACTTTTTCTTTTCTTTTCTCTTCTGTTTTTCCTTTCTTTTCCTTTGGAGTCAAATCAAATCAATTATGTCCACTCGAGTATGTAAGAATGGGTAACATACCGGAATCCCTCACAAGGAAGGCAGCACACAGGTTTCTGGATGGCGTATCTTTTATTTTATTCATTCAATCTTATTTCCTTTCATATTTCATTTCATATTATATTGTTCTTATTTTTCTTATTATTGTCATCATCATTGCTTGGGTTGGGTTGATTTGGGTTGAATTCAAATTGCGTTAGTTTAGGGTCAAGGTCAGGGTCAGGGTCAGGTTCAGGCTCTTGCGCATGCATGGCTGGTTGCGCATGGATGGATGGGTGGGAGGATGGATAGGATAGGATGGGATGGGGATTTCTTCTTCTTTTTGGGGGGGTGGATAAGTGGATAAGTGGATGGTTGTGTATGAAATATATTTTCAGAGGATCACAAACCATAGCACTGCATAGCATTGCATAGCATTGCACAGCACAAGCATTACATATGTTTTTATGAAAAAATTGGTTTCTCATTTATATTTTATTGATGTATTGGCCCTAATCTGGTAATGGAAGGTAAGGTAACGAAGTAATGCACTCACTCACTCACCCCTTTGTCCTTTTTTCTTTTCTTCTCCTTCATTCATTCACAACTTCACAAGCCATACATCCATACTCGAGTACATCCATCCATCCATCCATGCATAAAAACCCCCAGTCAATCACTCACTCACTATGAGCATCTATCTATCCATTCATTCATCCACAGGTATAGTATACGTATAAGTATGGGTATAAGTAGGTATTCATATTCAATTGCCAAATCATTTTCTCTTGCTCTCTTGCTCTCTTACTTGCTTGTTCTCTTATTCTCTTATTTTCTTTCTCCTTCCTCCTTTCTTCCACTTTTCTCTCCTCTCCTCTCCTCTCCTCTCCTCTCCTCTTGTTAACCTGCATCATTCACCATCCATCATCCCTCTCCAACCAAATATCTACATCCCGGCCCACCCCACCCCACCCTCCTCCCTCCGCATCGCATCGCATCAAACATAATGTGTTATGGTATGGCATAGTAAGTATGGTATGGTATAGTATTAAAACCCCGCGCACTCAGAACATTCATAAAAAAGAAGCCAAAAAAGGAAAAGAAAAAAAAGAAAGAAAAAAACGCCTATAATTTGTATATCTCTAACTCCTCCCAACCCTTGAAACGCCTGGAAATGTTATTTATCAACCAATTAATTGATTGAATGACGTAGTAGAGTAGGTAGGTTTCATGAAAAAATAACCCAAAAAGAATATGGTTCAAAGCGCACGCTCGCGCAAGCGCTAAAGTCAAAAATACGTATCTACATGGAGACTTGAGAGGTTAGTCTCTGGTGATTGATTGGTTGATTGATGGAGTGATTTGAGACCGAGATGGAATGAGATGAAATGAGCTGAATGAATGTTATTCATCACCAGGGGATTTCTGACCCGGAGTAGGAATCTTCAAGGTCGGAATATCAGCCGCGGGAACAGGGGAAATCTCCGGGATTTGCGAGGGGGGAGCATTGAGCTGGCTTAGATTTTCCGTAATGATAGGATCATCAGGCTTGGTATCGGGGTGGATCTGAATTTCGTTTGAGGTTTCTAATTCGGATCTACCTTTGGAACGTGAGAAACGCATGGATTCATTGTCGCCGTAGTTTCTCTCGATAGGGGACCAGCCGGCAACACTACCGGCGATGATACCGGCCATGACGGTTGTGGCGCCTAAGGCTGAGTTGGATCGAGATCGGGTGCTTCGACCGCGTTTGCGGGATTCGGGGGTGGGGAATGGAGCGTTTGAACCGAAAGCATCTTCCCGATTGGGATCATCGGAAGGTGTGGTTGGTGGGATGGAATTATCTCTTGATCGAGAACCACTCCTGGAACGAGGCATGAACTGATCGCGAGTTTGCTGCATGGCAAATTTCAAGTTGTTTAATCGACCACCCTTGAATTTCTTGAGGAAGGTCAATTCTTCCTTGACATCTGCCAAGGGTTGGGGGAATCGGAAATGCTCTTCCTCGTCCGAAATGGTGACTTCTGGATTCTTGTTTCGGTTCATCAAATAGCTAGGAACCAATGAGATGAGCAATTCATCAGGAATGAGACGTATGCAAGCTCCGACCGGGATAGAGAGGAAACCAAGAATAATGGAATATGCCCATTGAGCTCCGTTGAGATGGACCACGTTGAAAGCTTTGCCGCCAACGAAAATGATCATTACTTGACCACCGACCATGACAACATTAATTCCTATGAAGAACAAGTTGCGAGAAACTCCTTCGAATATGTTGAACTTATTATCCAGACGACGGTTGCTAAATCAAATTAGTGAGAGCTCAAGCTTTGGGAATTTCAAATACTTACTTCCATTGATTGAATATTTGCATCCACACAAATGTGTTGAAGACAAGAGTTGGAATTTGAGCAATTTCGCGTTCGGATTGGTATGAAAGAATGCTCTCCGCACCAAAGAACAAGAGCAGCGTGATGGTTAGTTGATAGATTGATTCACCAATGATCATTTTCCACATCGTCATAGTGATAAGAGGTGCGGATTTAGGATCGGGTTTTCGATCGAGGATGCTCGGAGGCGGTGGATCGGTAGCCAATGCAAGAGCGGCCATGGTATCCATGATAAGATTGACCCATAGCAGTTGCACAGCAGTGAGGACGGATGTCTCGTCAGAACTGGCAACAGCCGAGATGAAGGTTAAGAGAACGGCAGTAATGTTGACGGTGACTTGAAATTGCAAGAACTTCTTCACTGCATCATTAACAGCACGTCCCCACATCATAGCCTTGACAATCGAGTTGAAGTTATCGTCCATGAGAATAATGGCAGAAGCTTCCTTTGCAACCTCGGTACCAGCGATACCCATAGAGAATCCAACGTCGGCCTTCTTCAAAGCAGGCGCATCATTGGTACCATCACCAGTAACTGCCACCGTTTCACCAAGCTTCTTAAGAGCCTTGACCAAATCTTCTTTATCTTTTGGACTAGATCGTGCCAGGACTTGCAAACGTGGAATAATCTGCTCCTTCTTGGCTTGACTCAAATTTCGGAAAGCGGGACCTTCCATGATGATACCACCGGGAGTATAGATACCACACTCTTCGGCAATAGCTTTAGCAGTGACCATGTTATCTCCAGTAACCATGCGTACAACCACACCGGCATTTTGACAAATACGGACAGCTTCGGGAACACCTTCACGAAGTGGGTCCTGGATTCCTACGACGCCCAAGAGTACCATCTGCCTAAAGATATCTTCGAAAACAACTTGGTTCTTCTCTCCTTCAATGATTCGAGCGCCCTTGGCAGGCCATCTCTCGAAATCTCTGTAGACGAGTGCAATTGTACGAAGTGATCGTGAAGCGTAGTTGTCGATGAGCGAGTTCAGAGTGTGGCGGTTATCATCGGTCATATGAGTGCTGCTAGTATCTTTAGTCGGGTCCCGGATGATATCTGAGCACTTTTCGAGGAGAATCTCGGATGCACCCTTCACATAAAGTCTATATTTGCCATTGTCCAGTTGTACGACGACTCCCATACACTTTCGGCCCGAATCGAAGGGAATAAGTTGGATGATGGTGGAATTAGAGCGTTCTTGATCGAGCGAATCAAGTCCCAGATGTTCTCGTACGAAGAGCAAGAGCGCAGTTTCTGTTTTGGAACCAATGAAGCTGCTTTGGTTATCAACTTCGCCCTCGAAAGCGGTGGAGTTGAGAACAACCGATTGCTTGATCAATTCCTTGACGCTTGGACCTAAAGCAGATACCACCTCTCCTGCGGACATGTTATCTTCTCGCTGTGGCTCCTTACCCTTATCGAGTTGATCTTTCCCAGACGAATTTACTGTGCCACCAAATCGAGAGCTAGTTCCCAGGGTTCCTGCGACCACCAACATTTTGTTTTGGGTCAAAGTACCGGTTTTGTCGGAGCAAATAGTCGTAGCATTTCCCATGACCTCACAAGCTTTGAGATGCCTGACTAAGTTGTTGTCCTTCAACATGCGAGTGGTAGCAAAAGCCAAGGCTAGTGTGACAGCCAGTGGTAAACCTTCGGGAACAGCGACCACAATAATTGTAACCGTGACAATAAAGATGTTAAGGAATTCTTGACCCTTCTCGGTTGGGGTGTTGTGATTGTGAGGTAAACGGACCAGAAACTCAATAAACAAAACGATGAAGAGAAGGAGACCTGCAGCTCCACCGAGCTTTGCGATGTATTCAGCCAGTGTGTTCAATTTCGTTTGAAGAGGGGTAGACTCGGGATCTTCTCGCAAAGCGACCAATGTCTTTCCATACATGGAATTTACGCCGGTAGCTGTAACCATAAATGTCCCGACTCCTTCGCTAACCTGGGCTCCTGAAAGAATGAAAGGATCCAATTTCCTCAAGCTGTCGTGGTTCTGAATTGCATTATAGACATCATCGGCTGGTCGCTTTCGTATTAAATCAGATTCTCCAGTTGTCTGAGATTCATTGCAAACAACGTTATGTCCTTCGATGAAGATTCCATCCACAGGGATCATGTCACCTGGCTCGAGATGCATAACATCACCCACCAAAACATCGAAAACCGAGAGTTCCAAAGTTTTTCCTGATCTGATAACATTCACATCCCGATCTTCTTTCTTTTTGTTGAGTTTGACGAATTGGCGTTCCTTCTGATAATCGTTGAGAGATCCTACAATCACCACGACGACGATGGCTACTATAATTGCCACACCTTCGACCCACTCAATAGGAGGATGTTCCGAATCATGTTTCGTTCCGAATGTCTGGTATAGTCCGACACCTAAAGATATCGCTGCTGCTATTGACAACAGTATCAGAACCTTGTCATTGTAAGTAATCCACATCAATTCGAAAATGCTTTTGCCTTTCTTCTCGGGTAATCGATTGTCCTTGAAGATGCGTTTTCGGTCAGAATAAGCACCTTGTGCTTGAACGTGTGAATGCCCCTGTTCTTGCCCCGATCTTATCGATGGCCTCGAAGAAACCTTGGTCATAGGAGTTTTTGACGATTTTGAATGTTCGCTGAGATCCGGTGATCCTCGAGATGCGGCGGCCGTTGCTTCCTCGAAAGATACTGTTCCATCCAAAGCCTGCTCATCCACACTCAGACCGCTTCTTCGATCCGTCCGTAATCCTTTTTCTAATCCTGCAAGACCTCCGAGGGCATAGAAAGCCGCCAAATTTTTGCCATTGACTAACTTATTAAGTTGTCCTTGAGAGAATCCGAAATTGTTGTTTTCAACTTCAAAGTCCTCCTCGGTCCCTAGATCCGGCTTCAAAGCGTATTGATCATTCATTATATCATTATTTCCACCCATCTCTCTATGCTTATCTATCTGCCCTATGGTTGAGCTTCCAGCGCAAGTTTCTCCGCTGTAATTCGTGTTTGAATGGTTTCCATCGTCAGATTCGATGGAATTTTGTCGTGAACGGAGACCCGGGACGGCCAGGAAACCCGGGGTTCCTCTCGTTGTTGGCGAGGAAATATTATGGGGTGATGTTGGCCTACTATCTCGGCTGTCAAAAGAATTGGTCGCTCTTAATTCTGGTATCGATGAACGACTTGCTTGACTCGAATGATAACCTCGTGATTGTTGTCCTGCTCCATCATATGTCGCCGGACTTATATCTCCCTGTGAAGTTGAAGGAGAACTGGGTAAAGCCCTTAGAGCAACTGCGTCGTTATCCATAGCTTGAGGTGGACTGATATTACGAACAGCTGAAGTATCGATTGTTATCGTAGGTCTACTCGCAATGAAACATTAGCCATTTTTGACATGGGATTGTGGGTATGTATAATGATAAGATATTCAGACGTACGCTCTTTGCCTCTTTGCCCCCAAGTTTGGAGCTGGCGATGATCCATCTGAGTCCGCCATGTTAGTATGATTCGGAGCAATGTCTCCCCTTTGTTCAGTCAAAACACAGCCCGAGGCGCAGAGCCTTGGCGATTATTTGATGGAATGAAGCTCCGAACAAAGTGTTGTAGGCATCGAAGAAGGGCTGTGTTAAGGTAGCGGGAATCTAGAGAAGCAAAAGTATATAAGCTAAGGTCTCCAAGCTATGTGGAATTGAGGTAAATGACTCTCTCAATCATTCAATACACAGTCTTCACCAATGAATGTTTTTGACAAGAGTATCCAAAATGAATCACAATGGAGAAGAGGATGAGCTGTTAAAGTTTTATGAAACTGTGGATATGAACAACAGAGAATGATAACTCACCAAGACTTGTACATCAGACAACCCAAATCCCAACACAAATACACTTGAAATTTGACCAATGTTAATGGGCGGTCAATAGCTTGGAATCTCCTTGAGAGGTAGGCGCAATTCAATGGTGGAAAGTTTAAAAAGATTTGTGACAGAACAGTACTCCATTCGCAAACAAAGGTGTAAGTTGTTGCAAGTTGTTGCGACAACAAGCTCTTTTGTGGTTGTTGATAGGAGTTGATAGCTGTTGATGTTTTTCTGATAGGAGATTGAGTATTGACTAAGAGGGGGTTGATATTGAAGGGTCAAAGAGAGTAACTTTTCTCTTTTATTTTCTTTTCTTTTCTTTTTTCCAGGTACTGTAATGAATGGGGTAATGACTAGAAAAGTACAAACATGCACTGTACTCCATAGATGGCGTACAAAAAGAACAACAAGGAGAGAGAATAATAAGTTCTGGCTAGATTCTGAATATGAACAGGGTTGCCAAGCATTTCCATTGAGGCAGTGCAAAGGAAAACTTTATTTTGCATCGGAGCGTCAATAATGGAAAGAAATGAAATGATACGCCATGGATTGATCCGATCCATTAAGATTTAATAAGAAAAAGGGTAAATGATCTGATAATGTTTTGATAAGAGATTTTGAATTGATTTTATCATTCACTTACTTTGTTGTTGATATATGTATCATGGTTTTGAAGACATTTTCATGATTTTTGAGAAATGGAATAATATTTATACAATGTCTGTATCGGTACTGTATCGGTACTGTATAAGAATTATGGTTTGATTTGATATAAATAATCAATTTAAGACCCATATTAATTGAGGACCCGCCCCGTTATTAACCCATCTTCACCTCACATCAGGTGATTAGTTGTTTAGTTATCCCTTTCATCTTATCTTCTTTGAGTAGCATCTTTTTTTCTCGGACCCTTAAAGAAGCTTTTTACTTCCGATAATAATTTACTTATTTAGTATTAGTTCAATGCAAGAATAGCCCCACTTTGAAAGCTTGAAAGTCTTGAAGTAGACTAGACTTACTAAATTCTAATACCCGGTAAACCTCCTCCTTTAATAGTTCAAAAATCAATAGTTGGGATGGATGTCTCTGCCAGTTCTCCAGACCGTGCCAATGTTATTAAATTATCAGGAGATGATGAAATTTTAGATCTTCTATGCTATGCAAAATATCCCAGCCAGGCCAACTCACTCTCTGGTCACTGGTCTTGGTGGAAGAAAGAAGAGAGAGAGAAAAGGAGAGAGAGGGGAAAAAATTGACTTGGGTTTTCAATATACATTACCAAAATGAATTTGTTATCATCAATCAAGAGGTTAAAGATATCCCACAACTGATTCAAGGGAAGCTTACTTGGCATATCATATAGCCAGTTGTCGAACATCCTTCATATTTGAGGCATTTAACTATAGATACAGAGTAAAAGGAATTCCGGTAATTCTCACTGTCGCACAAATAGTATGTGCATAACATTCAAATATTCGGGATTCAAAACAATCACAAACAAGGATTACCACACCTCCAAGAGAAGGCTGATGATACTATATGTTTGATATATCCCACTAGAAGAAAAGCCAGAAGAAAAGAAGAAAAAAAGAAGAGACGAAATAACCAATCACAAAGTTTTCTATGATGTATATACCGATCGGTATCGGTATTTACTCTGTATTCTCTCTTCTTTTTGTAACCCTATTTGCTTGTCTACTCATTCACTCACCCATTCACTTATACAACCTTATCATCCATCAAAAAGCTTACCTACTAGATAATCCCCAAAACCTCATCAATACCCAGCAGTCACACAAACCAATCATCCATATCTACGCTTCATCAAACGCCGCCTTCCATCACTTCGTTCCATATACCTACCCTCTATTCAGAATATCCCATTCATTCCATTCGCCTATAAACTCCCCATTCCTTATCAAACACTTTTGCCGAGAGCAATGCCCCCTTCTTGGCTATGCTTGGTAGGTTACCGATAACAAGAATTTGTTCTGATATGACATGCGCATGTTTCTATCTGCAAGATAATACAGTATCAAGTTGCTGGGTTTCTTTACTGTTTTACTGGAGATTCTTTAAGTTGGAAATGTCAAAATACGTTGTTTGATGGTGACTAAGGTGGCAATTTCGGTTCTTGTCTGGTTTGGTTTTTAAATAATCTACATTCGGCTAAATCCAAACCACCTCACCACTTCCCTCCCTCCTGCTTATCTATCTCCAATCTGATTCACTATATAAGATATATAAGATACCTACTATTACATATATACACAGATAAACACATAAAGTTACTCTATATAATATATAATCTTTATCTCTCCTCATCTCTCCTACCCCATGAACCGAACCGAGAAACAGCAAGCAGCTGCAAGGTGGCAAGGAACGGAATAAAGGGGGCGCAGTCGCTTGGTGTGACCTTTTGTTTTATGCTTATCACTGTTATCTGTTGTACAAAGTGGAGTATGTTGGTTGAGGAAGTGTAGTGACCGATGGCAATTATGAGTGTGAGTATGAGTTAATACATACTCGTAGGTAGATAGGTATAAACTCAAATACTGGGAGAGAAAAATGGATTTTGTTTTAGCTGTGGGTGATGGGAGGGCTGTGTAGTGTATGTATGAGTTTCGTGGCTCGTTGTTCTAGATCTTGAATGTCTTGATCAAATCAACGGTAAATATACCATTTCATCATCAGCGCCGAGATGAATATTATAAGTCTTAACTTGTGGGTAGGTAGGTTCAATTTCAATATCAAGGTTGGGTTGGGTAGAATCCACCATGTATAGTACAAGTCTACAAGTCTACAGGTGAACGACGAATCTACTGTACGTACTGTATCTGCTAAGCCACCACCTCCCATGAGTGACGAGTCTCATCCCGTTTATCTGATCTGATTCTCACTCTTCATATCATATCACATCACATCACGTTTCTCACATCTGGGTATTTGTTTGTGTGTTTGTTCGTTGATCTATGGTCTATGATCTATGGTCTATGGGTATGTAGATAGATGAATAGATAGATGACGAATGCGAATACGGTTTATGGCATGATGATATGATGGTATAATGGCACTGGTACCGTACTTTGCTTTGCTTTGATACATGATAATCTGGGATAACAATCCGGGATACCTGAATTAGAATAACATAGATAGATACCGGTAGGCTATGTGTTCTACTCGAGTATTCGCCTGTTCGATGTTCGTCATGACGTACGAATACTTTGAGCCGCAATGGCTGATGATGGCTTCGTCAAGTACTCGAGTATTAAGTTGTTGGTTTCATGGTTCATGTCGATTATGCTCCATGCATCTTTCTTTTCATACATCTTTCATATATATCTCATATTGCGGACATCAAGATCAATTTCAATATCAAGATCAACCTTCAACATCAACATTCAACCGTTAAAAGCTTCCGAGTTTCTAAGTATAAGCTCTAAGCTCTAAACTCTAAGCCCCAATGAATACGTGGAAGCATACATTTCATCTCATTTCATCTCATCTCAATACTCAATTTCCAATTTTCCAAGCAAGACCCATTTCAATTTCTTTATCTTGGTCCTAGTGGTCCTGAGTTCTGAGTTCTAGGCTTTAATTATACGAGCTTTGAGTCCGGCTGTTCGCGATCTACCTCACAGTTTGTACTGTGCAGCTATGACATCATAATAATATAAATAATATTTTCATTATAATTATATGTATAATCTATTAATTGATATATAAAACTTATCAAAGCTGCAAGTCAAAACCCTTAATACTAAAACTCCAAACTGTTCTATCCTAATATACAAATATCCTTCTGTACTCTAAACTATATCTGTATCCCGCCTTATTTCTATTAATCAGTTTATATAATCAACTAACAATACAAATATATTATCAAAATGCTTTCGAACCAACATTTTCCAATCAAATTGTAAATTGGCATTGTTGACAGTATAATAATATTAAATATTGCAGATCTTGTTGGGGGTATAAGACTGGAAAAGCTGATCAAGAGTGTTTATATCAGTACAATATATACAAATATAAATACAAATATATTGAATAAGTTGATTTATGTGTATAGAAGCAAAAACAATTTTATCTATCCTGACAAAATAATG